TTATTGCAGTCAATACAGGTATGTATTTGTCCATACATTTCCTTGATCTCCTAACTCTTTTCTCATTTCGTGTCAGAATGTGCTCAGTATATCCCCACCTTATTTGTCTTATTGCAATCAATACAGGTATGTATTTGTCCATACGTTTCCTTGATCTCCTAACTCTTCTCTGATTTCCCTCCATTTTGTGTTTATGATTTTTCTCAGACTTTATTTTTCCAAATGTATTTAACTTTGGTTCTGTATCTTTCCTGGTTCTCCAACTTTCGCGGACACATTTTAGAATTGAAATTACGTTAGAATTAAATATTTGTATTTTGTTCTGAAAGCTGTATTACTTGGAACTTCAAATTTTACTAAGGCTTTAAAAGACTGTTGTTACTTTGCTAATGCGTATCATAATTTCCTTTGTTGTGTCTCCTTGTGAGTCAAAATTCCTACCCAAATAGGTGAAATTATCCGTTACTTTAACTGGTTTGTTTTCTAGCATCACATCTACATGATCTGTTGTTGGTATATTTAATGTATGAGTTTTCTTATAACTTATTTACAGTCCTATTTTGGACGCTTTGGGCCACAAATCCCTTACTAAAATTTAGTTCATCGCTTAATTTAACCTTTCAAAGCAAACCCGAAAAGACAGCAGACTGATCTCCAAACTGATGCCACCCCCCGTTCCGTGCCAAACATTGCTAAAGAATATTCTGTAACTACAATTGGCCGTATCCGCCATATGTGCACAGACAAAATTCGGTCTTTCACTAACGAATGCAAGAAATGATCATCATAACTTCTGCTAGAGGACATATATCAAACATAATTTAACGATAACCCATGTCTAATGATTAAATAACACTATTAACAGCAACTCTGTGTTGCCCTTAATATTATATTTTTATGAAACCAGGTGTTGGAGGTTCACATCTGCGAAGATACACATTAGAATGATAGTCCTGGTTTCATTTTAGATACATTTGTTTTGTTTTTGACTAGACTAACATAAACGTGCACGAAAGAAAAATGATTACCCGTAACGTTAGACATGTAATATGCTATTATCCCTTGCATGAAAGAAACAACCGGTGCTGTAACCAATTATTGGCGGTGACGTTTAGTGGAGTTTCCGTCCAGTGCCATTGCGTGCCACCATATTGGAATGGGAATAACCGAAGTGCTTCTTCTTCTTCTTCTTCTTCCACCACCACCACTACTACCACCCCTACTAGCACCATCACCACTACTACTTCTACTACTACAGCAACAAGAACTTCGACTACTACTACTACTACTACTACTACTACTACTACTACTACTACTACTACTACTACTACTACTACTACTACTACTACTACTACTACTACCACCACCACAACTACTACTTTGTCTTCTTCTACTATCTCCTTCTCCCACCCCCCCCCCCTCCTTTTTCCTTTTTTTTTCCTTTTATGTCTTCTACTTTTTCGTCCTACGCCTCTACTTTATTCTCTCAGCAAATTCTTTCTACTTCTCTTCTTCTTTCTCCTACACATTCTCTTCCCCCTCCACTTATTCCTCCTCCGTAACACCTTCTTCCTCCTCCTTGTCCTTCTTCTCATCCTACTCTTCTTCGTGTACTTGATTGGTTGTACAGGGGCTGTTGGCATGGACGAGGTAGGAAGTTCTGAAGCACTAAGCCTACAGTCCTGATCTCTTGTCAAGTGGCTTTAGCTTCTAAGAGACAATGAATTCAGATCGACAGCCATGTCATGAGAGAGTTGACCAAAAGTTAAGTGAATAGCCTGTCCTCCAATGCGGGCGGTTTCTACCGCCGCCCCACCCCTCCCCTTTACCGAGCAGGAGACTGTGAGCCTGAATGTTTACGAAGAATTTACTTGGAAACACTTGATACATTCTTGCTTTAAAAAAGTTGCTTTGTTTAATTCTGCTGTACCTAAGAAGGTACCTTTCATGTGTTTGTACTAAAAACACCGGAAAGAATTGTTGTGTGATAATTCTTCCTTTCTATTTTATACTGTGTTTGAGAGACACAAAGAGAGAGAGAGAGAGAGAGAGAGAGAGATAGGATGGGCAAAGAGAGAGAGAGAGAGAGAGAGAGAGAGAGAGAGTTAGAGGGAGAAGCTAGGTGAACCCTACGTATTCCTATGCATATATATGTAAAGTTTTTAATTGAACATTATAGTTTTAGTATGTTTTTTAGTTGACACTTGAGCAGAATAGCATAGTAAGTGGTACTGTACAACTAGAGGAAACTAATATATCAACAAAGGCGAACTACACACATACAGTTTTGTAAATATATAGGTATTTATTTTCTGTCACCGTTTTTATACAGAACATTGGTTTGGGGTTATTTTGTTTGTAATTAGAATTGCTCAAATGTCTACACAAGCATACACATTTTAGTATTCTCCAATTCATTTAAAAAGTATAACACAACAAACCATCTGCAAGTCGATGCAATAGTCATCAGCATGTTCCACTCTATAAGTGTGAGTGTTAATGGTTTGCCAGCCCACACAATTACCTGTCTCAGACAAGGCGTCCTTCTAGTCTTGGCTAGGCTTTGTGGGTGAGCCATTCGGATGTTTGTTAATGTATAGCCCCTTTGCTTTTCCTCCCCATCATGAAGAGACAATGTTGTAGTTAAATTACATACCATAGTTAAACTATTATTAATATTGGTATCTAGTTTAAATCAGCTCAATAGATAACGTAAGTGCGAACTGTTTTAACTAGCTGTAATTTTGCAATTTATTTGTAGTTTACACTCGCCTTATTTTGGTGGAACAAGTGTTCTGTGCTTCGGTGAGGTTTTGGGCTTTCGGCTGCCAAAGTGGAGTTCGGAAAAAAAGGAAGGGGGGGGGGGGGTCTAGCTTGTACATGCCAAAATTATTGCTTATGCAAAAGGCCGTTATGCCTTAACCCAGAAAACACCTGCCAGTAAATTATCGACACTGGAACATATGTGTTATTAATAGAACTGACTTGTGATTACCATGTATATCCGGCAACGGCTGGTTGTTTGTATTCGAAACATCGGCGAAAAGAAAGGTAATAAAGACATTTTATCCGAGCAGAGAATCGCCAAACAGGCATTAACATTGGGACATAACGGGACTGGGAAAGCGGGGACGCCTGAAGGAAATCATAAAACGAACGTTGGCGAAAGATACCAAAGATGCTAGACCGAATTCCATTTATGATATTGGATTGATTGGATAAGATAATGGAGAAATAGATTGCCTTCTGTGCCATATAATGGCACAACAGGACAATGATGATGATGACGATTAAATAATTATTTGTTTTTCTCCTGTGATTTGTGTCTTTTTGAAGAAAAAAAAAAACTGTCTAGAGACACAGAAAGACTGAGTATTTCGACAAACTGATTCTGCGCTTGAGCTTTTCAGAGGCCATGGGAAACTTGTTCTTGGCCTACACCGGCTGTAAACTCTGGCGAAAAGTTTTTGTTGTTCGTTTACTTCTGGTATTTAGACTTGTTCGAGAACTTGAATTTTGCTTACACCTGCTTTTTACAGATCTGGCTGATTTGTATGCAGACTATTGGTCCCTGGCCCTCCTGGCAAATGACTCTGACTTTGAAGGACACACCCCTAATAAGTCTACTTTTACGACATGCTAATTAGTTCACTTTTACGACATACTTGTAAGGGGTGGGTGGTCAATACCCATACCTCTTTCCCCCCCCCCCCCCTAATGGGGCTGCGGAACCCACACGAGTAGGACAGGGGAAATGAGAGGGCAGGTGAACTTTTAATCAGGTTGCAACTGACACCATCAGTAATGGGAACTCTTCATTGGTTTTGGGGGGAAAGAGACAGATCACGTGTGGCAACCCCCCCCCCCCCCCCCCCCCCCCCCCCCCCCAGTGTAAGTAAGCAAGTAAATGCTACCCCACTAGGCCAGCACACAGATAGATAAACACCTGGTGACAAAAAAGGGCCACCATGCGAATGAGGATCACACGTGGAGAGGCCCCGGAAACCGCGTTTAACCATTAGGCTATATTGCGGCCCCTAGCAACAGCCAGGGTAGGGCTTTAAAATAACGAAAAATTACATCCCTCAATGGGGATGACGAAATTGTACAACCCCGAGTGTAGTTATGTCATTCTTAATTTATCCACTCGCCTCTGGCAAAATGCACAAAAGGACGAGTGCATCTTTCTATTTTTTTAATTGCGCCTAAAACATGAGGAAAATGTTAAGGCTACTAATTTTTGGCTGCCTGGGGAAATTTCAGTATACACTATATACATCATTTACCAAATTCATGGCTCCTATTATAATTTGTAAGACAGATATTCATTCCTTCACCAGTTCCATCTGTCTCGTGCAGTTTCAGTTGTCTTTAATATATTGTGTTTCTTCAAAGTCGGAGTGCATCTGCCTGAAAGGCAAGGAACCAACAGTATGTATACAAGTTAGTCAAATATGTAAAACGGATGCACACGCAACACTCAGGTTCTGGAACAAGCCTGCAGTCTAGAAGTGGACGAATAACCAGAACTTTCTGCCATAGATTACAGATAATGAACGCGAAGAAGAAGAAGAATATACGGTGTGCACATTCGAGTTGTTTGATCCCTGCTTTATCTCACTGGAACCAAGTCTTTGTGTGTGTGTGTGTGTGTGTGTGTGTGTGTGTGTGTGTGTGTGTGTGTGTGTATGTGTGTGTGCTGTTATTTGTTAACTACGGGGTCGTTAAATGTGCTCAAAGTATTTCAGTTTGCCCGGCATGGTGTTGACTTCTTAGATATTCAAATCTGGCAAAATGTCAGGTTTTATTTTTTATTTTTATTTTTGTATGGTCCATATCTTTGTAAATATTTGCCGGTGAAATTTAAATCCCAAAGTTTCAAAAAGTATCTTGACGAAAATGCATGTATTCCAAAGTAGAAATAAATGATCTCAAAATACCTTAATATATTTTACCCTCTAAATTAAATATATGTGAGAGTGTACGCATATTTACGAGTGTTTGTGTATGTGTTATTATATATTCAAACTTTACGGGTCGCTGAGTTAATTGGAAAAGACAATGAAGTTCATTCTAGAGACAAAATTGCAGATATAGATAATTTATTTCAAGCTAATAAAAGAAGAAAAAGAAATATAAATAGAGAGAGGGGGAGGGGGGAGAGAGAGAAATTTACAGGCTGGAATGACTAAAAATATGAAGTCCATTTTTACTAATTTACTAAACTAAATGCCTTGCCTAAAATGATCCTGTGTTTGTTTCACAGCCTTTCACACTTTCATAGCTACGAAAATATTCGAAGACTCTATTGGATACTTACTGTAATTTTTTAAAACAAAAACCTACACATTTCCTATTTCATTCGTCTTTGCAATTTTGTAATAGATATTTCAGCGTTTAGATTTGTCTAGTTTGTTAGCCCTACAACTACTGTTTTTCTGGCAGATGACAATGTGGTCTTCTTCTTCAAAGGCAGACTCATTTAAAAACAGTACAGTATTTTTATGTTGCCATTCTATCTCATACATATTATAATCAGCGGAAGGCGTATCATGCTTAGACATCTTGATATTTTAAGTGTACTTTGAATAATTTCGGTTTCAGTACAGATAAGACTAAAAAGTTGCGCAAATTCTACAGAGATAATTAATCTACAAACAAAAAATGACAAAATAATAAATTTAAAAAGAGTCCCCCCCCCCCTCTCCGTATTAAATACATTGTTTCGTTTATAAGCTTCAGTGTGTTGCCGTTTGCATAACCCTTCCTTGGTTTTTTTTACGGGACCGATGGTTCCGGTTTTTTAATAGCTTCTCCATCTGGAACCTTCAATGCCTCCCTTGTAAGATATCGGCGTAGCGCCTCTGGAAGGACGCTCTCTGTCTCGTAGTGGCATAGGCGATACGGTGCTACGCTTGCGTCTACCGAAAAAGTCATCCTCATAGTCATCTTCTTCGTTTTCAGTGTTGTAGTCTGACTCAAAGCTGTCCGGGATCATCAGAGTGCCGGCAATCAAAATGAGGGTCATGGCAATCACTGTGAGACCCAGAGAAAAGCTGACAACGAAGGGGTCGGGTATTGATGTTACAAAGATGATCATCCCAATGAAACTTGAAGCACCTGGGGAAATAAGAATAAAAACTGGTTTTTATATTTCAACTTATGAATCTTCTAAATTACTTCATACTTCTCTACGTTTCTCTTATCTGTGTTGCTTGTATAAACATATAAATAATCCATGCATCTGCTTGTGAGATGCAATTTTTCGTTATTTGAAGCCCTACTCTGGCTTTTGCCAGGGGCCGCAATATAGCCCGACCATAAATTGGGTCTAATGGCTGAACGCCGTTTCTGGGACCTCTCCACGGTGATCCTCATCCACATGGTGGCACTTTGTTTCATTGGGCGTTTGTCGCTTGTGTGATGTCCTAGTGGAGTAAAAATCTACTACTACTACTACTACTACTACTACTACTACTACTACTACTACTACTACTACTACTACTACTACTACTACTACTACTACTACTACTACTACTACTACTACTACTACTACTACTACTGTTGTATGAACGTATGCGCATGAGGTTCTTGTTATATGCATTGCATGCTATAATAGCATGAATACGCTTGCCTGTCGGCCCAGACTTCTTCAATTCGAATCCTCGCCCGGGCGTATTTTGAATAACTGACATTGGCTCAATGGTCGATCCTAAGGGAAGTAACGCGGTCGGTGGGATGTTTCCCCACATGGTTACTCGAGTGCCCGAATGGTGTATAACAGTTAATGGTCTTGCACTATGTGCTTGATCTTCTGCTGGCGTGAAAAGGCTCGTTTACTTGACTTTTACAATAGTTCCTGCCCATATTTTCATTTTTTTTTTAAGTAAAGGACCCTTTTCCACGCCTTTAGCCATATGGGGCATATAGGGCTAGACCTATATTTTATAGACCAAAAGCACAAGGTGGGTGATGTGGTCAGCATCACCCCGGCCACCTCTACTTCCCGGGACTGCACCCAGTACCCACTCAAGGCTGGGTCGACCTGGGAGCCAAGGTCATTTTTGAAGAAAAGTTCATCTTAGCCAGGGAGCGAACCCACGACCTTCCGATCCGCGGCGCGCGTCTAACCGCTCTGCCACGGCGACTCCCTGATTATTTTCATAACGCATTTTTTATCTTTTCGTGGGCGGATTGAGTTCATTCGTTTTTTTAAGTTAAATGTTGAAGTCAAGATGATCGACTTCACCGCACCAGGTTTTATACCATATGTCTCCTCAGGACAGCTAGCTGTCCGCCGAGAGCATCAGACAAAGCACGAACAACGTATCTCTGACGACGATCCCCACGGGTCTCCGTAAAAATTGCACGCGAGAACCGAAAAATACAGCCGTGAAATTAACCCACGACTATCAAAGCGAGAGGCAAACAGCTTGACTGCTTCGCCACAGACATCCCCGTATTCGTTGCTTTGTCTGTAATATACATCAACAAACATGGTGTTGCCTGAATGCTATTGGGGTTGAAAGTGGGAATCAAAGATTTGTAACATTGTCACCTTTTATGCATGACGAATGAGGCAACCTAGGAGATTTTGCTGAGACTGACTACCATATTCCCTTAGTAAAGGACCCTTTTCGTCCTGCATTTGCGTATTGGGCATATAGGGCTAGAACTATATTTTATAGATCAATTGGCATTTGGTAGGTGATGTGATCAGCATCTTGCCCACCGCCTTTACTTCCAATGACTTGTACCTGGTCCCCACTCAAGGCTGTCGACCTGGGAGCCAAGGTCATATAAAAAAGGTTCAATTCCCGGCACGGTAACTATAGCTTTCGATTTTTATGTTGTCTAGTGTGTTCTTCTATCTTTCTACTTCTTTCTATGAGTGCCGTTCACAAAGCTTTCTGTTACTTGATTAATTCATAATATTTAACGGCCTCAAATGGTTCCCCTCTTTGTTTATTTATAGGAATGACGTATACACACCGGAACCTACCAATCAAATACCTTTCTTAAATGTTTGTGTATTCTAGACAAGGCAATAAGGTCTACTGTGTACGTAAATTGTTGCTGTGATTGTTATTTGACATTTGCCTCGTTAATATAAATTTCTGTAACCTATGGTGCCATTTCAATTGGTTGAAATGAATTCTGTCCGTATTCCATAGTCGTGGATTTCAAGCTGTACGATAGACATGGCCAATGAGACACCTTTTTTTGGGGGTGCCGAGTTGACCATGTATCTTTAGTGCACTTGTATTCATGGCGAGTCGCAGACGCCGTCTGGAGGTGACAGGTTCAATTCCCGGCACGGTAACTATAGCTTTCGATTTTTATGTTGTCTAGTGTGTTCTTCTATCTTTCTACTTCTTTCTATGAGTGCCGTTCACAAAACTTTTTGTTACTTGATTAATTCATATAAAAAAGGCCTGCTCTTTCAGGACCCGAACCTCCGACCTTCTGATCCGCAGGCGAGCGTCTAGCCGTTACACCACGGCAGCTTCCATCTTATTCCGTAAATGGCTTAAACTGCAAACAGCCGACCAAAAATTAACAATTCTAGTTTGACCATTGCTTGAGGGCCTATGCTCCACTGTGATTTGAGCGGGTTTTAATAACTTGTTCTTGGCTGCTAAATTGGGCAAATCAAGTGTTTTTAAAGATAAGATAGCTAGTCTAAGAACCAGTGGCGAGGCGTGATTACTTCACATGTGTAAGTGTTAGCAGGTAACGACATTAAAGAGGATATCATGTGATATTTTTTTTTCGTTGTTCGCTACTGAGAGTATACTTGCGCAGCTAGCATCGTAATACTAGTAACTGGTAGCTTTCAGAAGTTACAGTTTCTGCATGAATGGCATAAGCCTGCAGGGAGCGTTATTTTCATTATGTTCGACATGTAAACAGAATGACATTGATCTTTGGCAATAGAAAATTTAAGCGGCGCTTACTGCCGTGGCATTTGTACGCCTCTCCACAGTTTAGATTAGGTTTTAGATTTAGGTTTAAAAAACAGATCAGCGTCGTGGCACAAGGGTAATAACCCATAAGTCTTCTTTCTTCTTCTGCCTTTCTATCCCCCAATGGAGCAAAGGCCCTCAAACAACTCACGCCAAGTCGTTCTATCCTTCGCCATTGCATGGAGCTTTCCCTATGTCCTCCCCATCTTTCTAACCTCATTCTCCAGCTCTCTTCTCCATGTGTTTTTTGGCCTTCCTTTATTCCTATGCCCCTGTGGGTTCCAATACAAAGACATTCTAGTTATACTGTTCTCCTGTTTTCTCAGTATGTGTCCTATCCAACGCCAGCATCTTTTCGTCACCTCTTGGTCCACTGGAGCCTGTTTAGTTCTCTCCCAAAGTTCTACATTAGTTATTCTATCATACCATTTAATTCCCTCTATTCTGCGCAGGCACCAGTTAATGAATGTCAGTAATTTATTAGTAATTGCCTTGGTTGTTCTCCATGTTTGCGCATTAATTTGACATTAGAATTTAAAAAATTTAGTTTCGTATTTCTTTTGACCTCCACAAATTCCCTAGTGCTATGAAAGCCCCTCTTGCCTTTTGTATTCTTATTTTAATATCAGTTCCTCCATCTTTATCTACATTACTGCCTAAATAGGTGTACGACTCCACGTCTTGGAGTGGGGTGCCATTTAGAGAAACCACATTACTATTGGCCTGATTTATTCTCATTATCTTTGTCTTTCCTTTATGAATTTCCAGACCAAGCTGCTGTGATCTCGCATCAAGTATATTTAATTTAAATTGCATCTGATTCCGTGAATAGGACAGAAGAGCAATATCATCAGCGAGGTCCAATCATAACCCATAAGTGCTTTGTTCTTTTTCTAACTCAAGCTTGAGTCTGAAGAATCTCAGCGCAGTGCACAAACTCCGTAGCAATGACGAGGATTCTAAAATACTTTGGGTAGATTTTAAATTCGTAATTTTGCCCGGGCAGCCCCGTTCGACTACTCTTTGCGATTTTACTTTGCCACAGGATGTTTTACGTCATACTAGCCAGAGACCAGGGAATATTACTAGAAATCCACGTGAAAAAATCCCAGCCCTCACTGGGGCATCAACCCAGGACCTCCAGCACACGAGGCGGACGTCATGCCTCGAGACCACTCAGGCCCCACAGCTTAGAGTCCTTTCTTACGATATGTATGCTAATTTACATTGTTACTGTTCTTTGGTCAGCAATATAACATACAGCGAAGACTACAGGATCAACGTGCCTAATTATCGGATAGACAGGAACGATCACTTACCAGCAATGTAACATAAAAACATGATCACTGCTGCGAAAGTTTGTCGTCTAGCCGTCTCCATACACATAAAGATGAATAACAGGATGACCGTAAATACCACAATGCAGAAAGTCACTGTTTCAAGGCCACGCACAGCATTAAACATATCTGAAAAGACAATTTATTTTAATAATATAATGATCAGCCTTGGATGGGTGATGTGGTCAACGTCACATGACCGCCTTCACTTCTCATCATGAAGGCCAGTCACCAATCTAATATCTTTGCTTGTAGCATTTATGGCATGTGGCCAAGTCATCTAGACCTACATCTGACACTAAACCACATCCTACTGACTTGACAACAAAAATTTGAGGAAATCTGGGAGACTTCGAAATGACATCCCAGTTTATGACCCACGGTGGAATGAGCGCGGGACCAGAGATATGCAGAAGAAGAAGGTGAATTGCAACTAATCATCACTATAAGGCGGACCCTAACTGATTGAATCGTCAACATTATAACATTCTACATTCACACTGAGATGTGTCTTTCTGTTTCTCCTTTATATTTTCCCACGTCAGACTCGAGTATGTACCCTTTATCAAATTGGATGGAAGCATCAAGCCTAGAAATGGCGCAATACTAGAATTTAGTCACGAAAGTGACACAAATAACCCAGACCACAAATATAGGCAGAGACTGTTAGCAGCCTCGGCTATCTAGCAGCAGTCTGAAAGTGGTCGACCTTTTCATTTTTTTTTCTCAAAAGGACTTGGGCTCTTACTCACCCTATTCTTCAATGTTACAATGTGTTACTATTTGTGTGTGTGTTTGTCTGTGTGTGTGTGTGTGTCTGTATGTGTGTGTGTCTGTGTGTGTGTGTGTGTCTGTGTGTACACGGTTACAATAATTTGTCTTACTAAATAAAGCCTAATGTTAACGTCAATTTCTCACTGTGCACAACTACACAACCATTGAATTCACTAACTGACGCAGACACTGCTTCAGTGTTCAAAAATAGTCGGCATATGGTATATCAGCTAATACAAACAAATGACATGATAGTTGCTTACGTTTTCTTTAAACTGAAAATACTGCATTATTGAAAATACTGCACTATGGAAGAGACTGCACTAATTTGGGAAGAAACTAAATATGAACTTCTTATTATTTTTATTTGTGAATAAGAAGACAGAAAGAACCCAAAATAAAGTTTCAGTAATATATATATATATATATATATATATATATATATGTGTGTGTGTGTGTGTGTGTGTGTGTGTGTGTGTGTGTGTGTGTGTGTAAAATGCTATTAGTTAATATAAATATAACAGTTCTTGTTTTGTCGATAAGATTTTTTTTAAAAAGAATTTTGTAACAACAGTCACATAAAACCTCTAAATATAAAATGACTCCATCTTGCATAAAGTTCGCTGAAGATGGAAGTAATTTATTATGAGGACAATGGTTAATTATAATGCTTTACCTGACTCAAAATTGGATTCCACGGGAGAATCTATGCAATCCCCGTTGTTGCAAGCCAGCATACGCCACAGACCAACGTTTGTTGTTTGCACGTTGTTTGTAGTGTTGTATATCATCCAGTTGTTGGTTGCCCATCCTGCGATGTGCAGTACCATTCCTACTATAAGGACAACAAGAGCTGCCTTAGACCAGCCTGAAGACGGACCACACATTTTGGGAATCTAGAAAAACTTGCCAAGTTGAAAAAAAATTATACAAATTTTTAAAAAATGAACTTCGTTTTTCAGATCGTTCAAAGAATGTGTCTTTCTTTCGAGCTTACTGTCGAGATATGTTGCAATAACTGTATCTTATTCCGTTGAGTAACACAGCAGTGTTAATTTTACGCCACGTAAGTGATAAACTGTGTGTTTAAATTATCTATATATATAAAATGCGTTAGATTATCTTTGCGTACTTTTAGTCTTAAATTATATCCGTTGAAAACATAACTACATTTCTTAGTCTAACACTCCTTCTAACCCCTAAAAAGTAGAATCTAATATCCCAAAGTCAAATATTCACAACAAGCCTTTTAAAAGCTGAAATCAGTCTCGCTTTTAACGAATGACGTCAACTAGGAATATTTATGATATATTGCTAATAACATAGGCTCGAATTTGATATGATCATATCGGCTGTGAAATATAATAGAAATGGTGAATAACGTAAACTTCTGTCTTGTCCTGGTTATCTGCAGGTTACCTGTGTTTATTCATTCCGTCCATAAATCTTTTATGCCAGTACACCGGGTAAATATGTCGAGGCACCCAGGCTTAGATTGCCTATCATAACCGAGTCGAAAAAAACTAAGGGTGCTGGAGTGCTATAAAAGCAATAGTCAATCGATAAGGCACCTCTTTATTTCATTCAAAGGACCGGGCAGAAACGATATATTGGAATGTGGGATCTAAGAATACCGCTGTCAGATCGATACTTCCTTTATACAGTTTTAAATTAAAAGTCACGTTAACTTACCACCTCCCAAGTAAAGGCCTTTTCTGCACACAGACGTTTACACACACACACACACATTCACACACACACATGCGCGCACGCGCACGCCCACACACACACACGCACACATATGTTTATGGAGACGAAATTGAAGTAATAGGCCTGTGAAGCTAAAATGTCTTTAAATTTTGGGTATGCCGACCGTGTTTATTTGCATGTCTGTTTATGGTTATTTCTTTTAATTTTTTTTTTTTCGTAAATTAGTTTCTGTTCTTTAAAAAAATTATTGTTTTAAAAAAGGTTCAACACAATGTAAAAATTTCAAAAATATTAATGCAAAATGAAAAAAAAATTTAAAAATATTGGGATTTGGGCCAAATATAGTTTTGCTCAACATAGGACAAAATAGCACCCAATCTATATTAAAGTACCAACTTCTGCAGTCCTTCGCCGGGTCTTATAGAGCACTTTATGTGTTGCCATCTGTGGCTAGCACCTGCGTTTGATGGGTAAAGCTGTTAATGTTTTAACAAACTCTCCCACTTTCTCCGAATTTCAAGTTTGACCCGTGGCATGAATTCTCTTCGGAAGTATCTGGACATTGCTGGACACCGAGGAAAGATCAGTGTCACAATCTGCACTTTGGTAGCAGCAGGTGATCTTTACAAGGCGAAGGTCACAGTGTTTAGCTAGAATAACATCGAATTAGTTAGTGTCTGGAGAGTCTCCAAAAGATCTTACGTTAGGGCTTCACATTAATTTAAAAAAAAAAAAAAAACGTTTATGACGTGGAGGTTTTGGGGCAGCAGAATTCAAACAGCCGCCGTTCCTTTCCCTCATTTTCACCAACTTCGACATGTCCCATCCATGATGGCCATGAGCTGTGTTCGGTGTCCACTCGCACTGAAGATTCCTAAAATCTAGAATTGATAAGGTATCCCTGTCTGGAACTTCGCTGACCGTGGAATTCCTAGCTCCTCCTAGAATCTGTCTTTTGGGTTTAAAGAAAATGACAGGGTCGATGCCTTATTACTTAAAAAGGTTATTGATCCCGCTCTTGTTTATATCTACCTTTCTTTTCTCTACATTCGAGACGTAAACCAAGTGGCGTATATATTGACGCTTATACTTTCCATTGCCAAAGAAAAATACATTATTTTACACTTACAGGATGATCGGAAAGAATCCTTCAAATCCAGATCTAAATAAGAGCAGGATTTGTAAACCTTATAAGTGATTATGCATAAACCCTGTCATTTTCTTCTAATACAAAAGACACATTGTATGAACCCAAGTTCAAGGTGTCTTTTTCGTGCCAAAGAACTGCATGGCTGTTGGGTGAACAGTCGTTAACGAAGGCAGGCAGGTCGTTGTAGGGGCGACGCCTGCTGGTGGATGTAATGTCCTAAGCCCCTTCACCAGCTAATAATGAGGGTACTGCTGGGGTGACCGTTTAATAACCCTCATATAATGCTTCAGGTCAAAATGGACGCTAGGCACGGCCATCTTTTAAAAAATATTTTCTTTTAATTTTCCTGCCAGACGGTGGCCGTTGCATTTTTGCTCCATTTGTAGACTGGAAGGATAAAGTTTCGTTGCCCAGCTTCTGAGTTGAGTGCATGGCGTGACTGAGCTACGTATGTTTTTCGTTGGCACAGGAGCGGGGCAATTATGGGGTGACCCGTTTGCTATAAAGTTGAAACTAGGATTACCAGATTACTTGGTTTACGTCTCGAACGTAGAGAAGAAAAAAAAGGTAGTTAAAAAGGTAGCTACGTGCTAATACAACTCGTGCAGAAGCTGTAACGGGTGAAAGCTACCAAATTACTTGTACTGCGGTGTTAGTTGTGCACGCATGCGCTCAACAGTGAAGCAACGAGGATGACAATATTACGTAATACCCTCTGGAGTGTAATTGTTGCTCGCTAACGCCTGGACTTGCTAAATGGTCACACTTCGCAAATGGTTGTCGTCGTCATTGTTTGTTTTTGTAATGTGTCCCAGGGATAGTGACAGACCTTACCAAAGAAGGTCAGTAAACGACTTACCAAGATCAGTGAGCACCTTGAGAAGTGTCTTGAGGGACTTAGGTGTCCCAAACGAAAAAGACAGAGCGATTTAATGTGTACCAAGATAGTGAACGCCTTACGAAAGACACAGTCCACTTCAAAGTGTCCCGAGGATAGTCGATGTGACTATCTAAGAAACAGGAGTAAACGACTTACGAAAACTGGTGAGCAACTAAAGAAGTACAATGAGAGACTTACCAAGGAACTTTTATGAACCACTTACAAAGACAAGTGACTAAGTTTCGAAGTTCACTGTGGGACTTATTGTGTCCCTCAGCCCATAAAGCTCTCCTCTAAATATTTGACATCAACTGTTTTATGTGGCAGAGACTCACTCCCGCACTGCGGAATAAGGAATCCACGCTAGTAGGGTGGGTCGTTTTAGAAAGCGTAATTTCGTTAAGCGCAGTCAGTGGTCATTAAAACTGACATAAACCGCATTCTTGAACAGGTTATGATGGAAACAGTGTACTGAATTAAAGAAGGCTTAACACCCCCCCCCCTTTTTTTTTCTTCTCTCTCCAGATTTGCAGTCTGTATGATTTAACATCTCACGGATGGGAATCAAACAGATACAAATCCAGAAAGTCCCGTTAAATCGTACAGCCATATGTCACAGTTTTATTTAGGCACCACAAAACGGTTACGAAGTAACGTGTGAGGGTGGGTAAGTATCTGTGTATGCTTTCTTCTTTTTTTTTTTATTTCTTGTTTCTACCCTAGCATTATTATGTATTTACGCCCACCCACGCAGTATGGCTGCTCAGTGAGCGACTTTACGGAGGCAGACAGGAGCAAATTGTGCGAACCCCTTTCACCGTATAAAACATTTCACGGTGGCATTTTTACGACTACTAAGTAACCTGCTGCAGAGGCGCAGACACAAAGAAAACTGAAGGGTCTCAGCCACCTTATATATTTTCTGGATGCTGCGACCCTAAAGGTCTTAAGCTTAATAATAATAATCATCATAATATAATGTGCTTGATGGAAAATAAATAACAAATACCACACTTTATTTAAAATATAACGAAAACGACAATTTTTATACGTGGTTGGTGAGGCCACATAGTCCTCGTGCAAATTTCCTGGCTGACCCTACTTCTAAATTGTTTAAAATTTTTTTTATTTTTACACATAGAGAGGAAGCCTTTAGGGTGCTTGAACTTGTGAATTCCGGTACCCTTATCGGCTGTCATTTGGGCTGGGAAATGGTCGTGGTCGTTGTTGTATGGGGATTTCTGGAAGTAGATCATTTTACCGGATGTGGAAAAATCTGGCAGTCCGGCGGCAAAAATGATGTTCCAATTTCCCTGCCTGGTCTTTTTGTAGCAAATATGGACTTCTCTACAAAACTAATCGACCTGTTGCGATCAGGCTACATTAAAAACATCAGGTACAAATAATTAATCCGCCACTTTACTTTTATTAGTGCTTTGCACTCTGAACTTAAAATTAATTTAGTGATAGTTAGATAGTAATCTGGAGTATCGTTTCCTCTCCTGTTCCACTTTCACTTTCTGACTTTCTCAAGTTTCTGTGGTTGAAGTGAAGTGACTTCAGAAGTCCTTATTGACTTTGATTTTATATGGTTTATACTAGTTCTCCAGAACCGGCTCAGACAATCTTGACCCTGTCGATTCACACCATTAGAACATGACAGTCACAGTGCCATGTTACTGTCATTCATGCCCTGTCGTCCTATGATCTGCTTGCCTGTGATTCTCACTGTGTAACGTTGAACTTGGACAGCCCCGAAGATAATGGGGATCCGTGTGACAGAAGTCCAGCTACTGGGCTACCACATCTGAAAAATACTTTTCATTGGAAGAAGCTGCGGAGAATCTCTGAGAGATGACTGACGTTTAAGACACCATGACCACACAGCGAGCGATGATACAAAGTGCTACTTTGAAACCTTTGTTTATGTTTAGCTGCCCCCCAAACCCCTTTCCCGATTATTATAATAATATTATATCAAAAATATCCTCAAAAACACCCTAACAGGGCTTCAGTCACATGCGGACTTCCGGCGACTGGATTTGCAGCCTTCCGGCAACTACCGCCACCGCCGAGAGTATCTCCAACGGACGGCGTTGATTGGGGCTAAACTAGATGGCTGGGACTCACGAGCAGCAACTTCCGCATCTCTTGCAGCTTTGCTCATGAGTCCCAGCCATCTAGTTTAGCCCCAATAACGCCGCGTGTAGCAGCGTTGGAGATACTCTCGGCGGTGGTGGTAGTCCACAAATTAAGTCACCGGAAGTCCGCAATTTACATGTGACCAAGGCCCTGTTTTTGGCCGCCATAATATGTGCCCATTATTCGGAGATAGCCTAGTGTTCCAAAGTGGTCTGGCGATGAATTTTAATGTTTCTAAAATGTTGGATAATATCATTTGAGTAAGTTAACACACCTGTTAACATTTCTCTATCAGGGTGCCACTTTTCAACAGCAACTTCAACTTTTAGCCACGTGGTCAAAATATCTTGGATTTCAACGGTTCTGATCCCTCCAGTTTCCACCCAGGAAGAAATTTCATCTGCAGTTTCTATTCCTTCTGCTGCTGCTAAGCTCTTGCTCAGTCACATAATTGGTGCAGTTCAGGCATTCGGTTTCCAATGGGGCATTCGAGTTCCCAAGCATAATATACTTAAATTTGTGTTCGGATTCCAAGTTTTTTGAGTTTTTAGATGTTTGAAGGTACCCGAGATACCACTGTAATTTGAGTTCATTTAGCTGAACCATTAAGAAATGTGGTCTGTTGTACGTGTCCTCAGGGTGAGTTGTTGCATCAGCTGTTTTAATGCTGAGTGAAAACCTTCATATACATCATGGGCAAAAGCTGCTGTATTGGTCCAGGTTTTTCTGTTTCGATGGTTCACCTCACAGGTAGATGGAAGAAGACATCGTCTCTCAGGCTGGCATATTTTTCTCGCAGTTGTCTTCTACGGTAACTCGCCTATAGTATGTGTGCCTATACCTTTAGTCTGGATTCTCTAAGTCACTCTCCAATTATATTTGACACATGTTATCAGTGATCTGGAGTGTGGAAACTTTCTAGAGGCATTTAATAGAGGTAGATTGTAACCATGTACTAAATGGTCATTTATTGTCTGTAGTATGTCCCCAGTGTCCATTTTCAGTGATTTAATCAGTGCTTCTCAGTATAACATATAACATCTGCCCATCCTTGTCTGACCTCCACAATAAGTCCACATTTTACAAAGGTGTTAGGCTTCCACAAGTGGCATAGTCATATCCACTCTGAACCTGTTGAACAGAGACAATCTTTGTAATTTAAGTCTCTTTTGGTGCCAGCCACAGACTCACTTTTTGTACTGGAGGCTGTTTGTTCTATTTGCCCGCTTCTAACTGATGATTATGGCCTCTGACATTAGCTGGGAAAGCTGACTATGATCTTGGCCCCACAGCAAAGATGGCATAACACATTATAACAGCACAGTTCTTTTTTCTTGCCCTTGAAAGGGTAGTTCTCATGTTGCATTGTGGTTTACAGCTGGGCTTTGATGTCTGCACCATTTGACCAGCACAGATTTATCAGCGTACACAACAGCATCCTTAAACCCAGCATGTAAATCTATCAGATGTGTCCAAATAAACACTCTTATCGCTCTACTCCACTATTTCACACATGATGGTCACCTGATAGTTGTTTTTGTTACTGCCCGGCCTATCCATTCTGCCTGCTTGTGAAACATTATTATGGTATTCCTTTCTATCGGTCTCTGCTTGTGAAACATTATTATGGTTTTACTTTCTATCAGTCCTTGCTTGTGCCATCTGTGACTCACTCTTTAGTATCTTCTGAGTTTCTTTTTTTTTTTTTTTTTTTTTTGTATTTATCAGTGGTAACACAAACTGGCATTTGCTGAAGCATGATATGCATTCTTGACAGTCCTTTTATTGGTTTCTCATACAGCATTGTTTGATTCCTTTAGCTTCACTAAGTTCCTTCCATTTATTTATGCTTAATCATTGTTTGCAGAAGAGTCTGAAGTGAAATATTTCTTCAGTTCTAGTCTTTCTGGTTGCTAATTTGTTTATCTTTGTTTAAAATTTCCAGGGCCATCCGGAAAGAACTGCAGCATGGGGCAAATCCAAATATTGTTCATCCCCTTTATGGTGTCTCGGCTATGCATTTAGCTTGTGGACAGGGAGATGAGGCAACACAGCTGCTGTTGCTCTATGGGGGAGATCCTAATATTGTGTGAGAATTGTTTTGGCTTATATGGTTACTCTCTCTCTCTCTCTCTCTCTCTCTCTCTCTCTCTCTCTCTCTCTCTCTCTCTCTCTCTCTCTCTCTCTCTCTTTCTGGCTGTCTCTCTATCTGACTGACTGTCTCTCTCTTTACCTGGCACTCTGTTTCTCATTCTTTGCATGTGGCTATGCATGTGTTGGTGTGTATGTGTTAATGTATGTATGTGAGTGTCTTTACGCATGTATGTGTATCCTAACATAATTATTGTGAATGTGCTCAGTGTTAAAACTATGTTAATTGCTAGATGAGTGTAATAAGCACAATACAGAAGTTATAACTGTTGTAGGAAATATGGTTAGAAAAATCTTAAGTCATGCCTGTGTGTCCAATTTTTAAAATAATTTACTTTCTTTGTTGCTTTTTATTCTCTCTTCCTCTCTTATTGTGTGTTGTGGTATCTAGGTTTTGCAGTTTACATGCAGAACACTGCTAATCTGAGATTTGAATAATTAACTGTATAACTGCTTGCTTATGTAACTGGCTTATTTTTTTTTTTCCTTCACTTACCTCAGTGAAGTGCTGAGGCAAGACATAAGGAATTCCTGAATGTTCTTTCTAATGTGCTGCACACACCAGTATTAATTTCTTTAAGGTTGTTCTTGATGCCGTTGCACCATCTTTTGTAAGGTCCTCTTGCTGTTTGCTCATTAACTAACTTCAATGTGGCTGTCTGGGCCTGTGCATTTTTTTCACATGGCTAAACCATTTCATTTTTTTGAATCTTAATAAAAACACATAATTATATTTAATAAGCATGAGAGGTTTCTGCAAGCTTTTAGAAAAAATGACTCAGAAATGAGTGGGCATTATTTCAGATCTGTTGAAGATGTGACACCGTTGCATGTAGCAGCCTCTTGGGGAGACTGGAAGACAGTTCAGCTATTGTTAAAGAGTGGAGCTGACATCAGTATTCAAGATCAGGTTTGTGACCAGTATTGTGGTGAACAATTGTTCGTGACAGCACTGTACTGTGCTTACAGCACTAGGGCTGAGTTAAGTTAGCCACTTCTTAGCCTGGAAGAAGCAAGTACAGAATTCAACAGTTGACAAAGCATGTAGATCAATGCTGACAATTCCTAAACTATAGTTGCATTCTGGGCTGTTCTTTTCTAGTGTAAAAAAGGAGCTAACTACTAGTGCATCAATTACGTCAGATGAATGAAAAATTGTCTTTATGTATAGCTGTATTTGATTTTTTTTAAACAAAATTGTTTTTTATTTTTTTTTATTTACTTCATACCTATCTGTGATCTGTCGGGTATAAGGTCATCTTTATTCATCCTAAGGTGTAATTGTATTGTGTCTGCTTTCAGCATGGCTAATATATTTGCACCCTTTGACCAACACTTCTGTTTTATTTGGGCATTTTTTGCCAAGCTTAGCCTCCCTAGTTAGTTCCATGGCACATTGTGCAGATTCATTGTTGTGCTCTCATTTCTTGTGCTTTCATCATTGCTTCCAAATCTACAGGTGGTGGCCCCCATTAGGCCGGCCCAGGGCAGCCATGCAATGCTGGTCAGCCGTCAGTAGAAGGCAGGTGCAGAACATGAGTATTCCCCACCTTTCAAGGAGGCTTGCATAGGTGATGCGCTGGTGCTATGTTCAACCAAGGATTCAAGTCTGCTCATGATTGTTGAAGAGGGGGGGGGGGGGGTGAGTGGTCTCGAGGCATGGCCTCGAGTGCTGGAGGTCCTGGGTTCAGGCCCTGGTGAAGGCTCCTTTTTTTTCACATGGACTTACAGTAATTTCCCCTGGTCTCTGGGTAGTAAGATCAGACACCTGTGTGTATTGATGCACATGTAAAAATTTCCTTGGCAGTTGGAAATCAAACAGAGAACCTAACTATGCTGCCCGGGCAAAATTTAGAGTTAAAATTCTACCTTAAGTAGTTCAGAATCCTCGCTGGTGCTGCAGAGTTCGTGCACTGTGCTGAGATTCTTAGGACTCCTGCTTGAGTTAGAAGTAGAACGGAGCACTTATGTGTTACTACCCTTGTTACATGACCTTGTTCAAACCAACATGACTCCTTAACTTCACTTTTGTTTATTGTATAGAAAGTATTTTACAATAGTTTGATGTATTGTTTTTACATTTGGTGCTAACCTGTTATATTACGTCATGACACAGGATGGAAAGACGGCCTATGATCTGGCAGTGGACGGTCAGAATGTGGAGTGTGCACAGATTCTCCACTGTCATGAGGTGATGATAAAAAAGAACCTAACAACTCATGGACATGTTGGTAAGTTTGTGAATGTGTTATGAAGTGATGAAGGAGGGGGTCATAGCTGTCAGTTGTCAGATAGTTTAAGATTGAATAATTAGGATCATAATCAAACCCTTTGGGCTCTGTCTCTGTCAGCAGATGTTGTTGAGTGGGTATTCTCAGTGCCCAGTAAATATGTGATATAAACACTGTTTTTTTTTATGCCAGCTGCTGCGACAAACATTTTAATAAACAATCTAGGCTGGGCTGATTAATCCACTTCTCTGTGTCAGCCTGGAACAATCTCTTACAAGTTTCTGATTGTTAGTCATTTGCTCGAGAAATAGGGAGCTGAAGTTAGGCAGTGGGTAGTATTCTTGTCTAGACTTTATATGTTCAGATCCTCTTTGATGCTATTTTGTGTGTATATGTATGTTTTAAATTAATGTGTGTCCCCAGGTGGGCAAAGCTTAAAATATGTCGGAGGAAATATTCTGAGAATTAAAGGTGACTAGCATAATATTGATCACATTACCTTCAAACACTAGTTGGCTAATTAAAAAAACAAAAAACAAAACAAAACATGGCTAGCACAAGGCCATGTTTAGCCATTAAGCACATGCTTAGGGCACCACATTAATTTTCAGTGGCCTTGGAGCTGAGTGCTTATATTATCGATTGAAGTATATTTAAAAATCCCATAGAACAAGAACAAAACAAGGCAGGCTGGATACCTTGTCTCTATTAAGTATAGAAGCATATGTGGTACATAAGGTTAGTTTTGAGGCTCTGATCAAAGTCCTTGCAATTAAAGAACATATGAGGAAACTTTTCAGATATGAATAATTTGGGTGCATACTGAAATAGTGAGTTTTGTTTAATTTGGATAAATAAATGTTATTTTATGGTTATTGCTTATATTTTGAATTCCATCTGTACGTGTCTCTAGAACCATCATAACATAGGGGCAACACGCTAATCTGTTTATGTCAAGTGACCATTTACATTTCAATCCTGTGATATTTTTTTTTAGGGGCCGCAGTACACTGGTTTGTCAAGGGGCCCATAATGCTGGTAAGATGGGGGGGGGGGGGGGGGGGGGGGGGGGGGGGGGAGGGCACCAATATTGGTTAAGTGCTTAGGGCATCAGAGTCCTAATCTGGCCCTGTGCTAGCACCATATGTCCTGTATCCCTCAGAAGCTGGTAATGGGATGTTCATCGTCATCGTCACGTAACATGTTGTTGGGTCACCAGCTGCTGTTGACTGTCTGATCAGTTGCCACTAAGCTGGATAATTATACGGTGAACCTCGTCATTTGTGATGTGGTCTCTCTATGGTATGCCAAGCATTTTTCTTAAAGATCACATTTCCAGTGCCTATATCTACTTTTGGAGTTCATCTGTCAAAGTCCACATTTCACAGCCATATGTAAATGTACTATTAGCTAGTGCTGTCTGAGCAGTAGAAGCTTAGTTTTGCATGAAATGTTTTTGGATCTCCGTAATATTTGTTGTTTGGCAAGGACTGATGATTTCTGGTCTGGACTCTATGTTGCTTAAAATGGATCCTAAATATTTGAAGTGATTTACTTGTTCTAATTTGTAACCTATAATGTACATTGGTGTAGTTATGCCAGCTGGATTATTAGTCTTTTCCATGTTTATTTCCATGCCATACTCGGATGAATGTTTCATCAAGAAGGTTTACAATTACAAGTTTGACTAGCTCTTGTTCTTGCCTGGCCAACCGCCAATGTCATCGACAAATCTTATGTTTGTTATGATTTGTCCTCCAGCAATAACTGTTCCTTGATATTTTTTAGGGCATCAGTCATAATGCTTTCAAAGAAGATATTCAGCAGTGTTGTGGAGAGGAAGCAGCCCTGTCAGACTCCTACTGTTGTTTGGAACCAGCTCTCTCAGCTTTTCTATACTGTTTAAAGGTTTTGTCCAAATTCTATTTTTTCTGTGCCCCAGAGCGCTGCATGCCATACTGTATAAAGGCATTTTTGAAATCAGTGAGTTTGTTACTTACTTCACTTATTCATCAGCATATGCCAAGCCCAACTGTGTAGGCACTCATGTCCGTTCACTTGATTCTGTCACTTATCAACACATACAAATTTCAGCTAAAATATGTTTATTATGGTAGCACACAGAATAAACTTCAGTGCATATTCACTTGTTTATATCATAAAATATACAACAATCTTTGTGTATAATTGTGCTTATGTTAGACCCATATAATCCACAGATCATGGGAAGACAATCACAGCATTTGACAGGAGTGAAAACCAGACTTGTTACAGAGATAGCTCAGTCAGTGAACTTGAGTTGCCCTCAAGACTGTCCTCTGATACATTAACTGAAAGAGTATACCAGTATTTGGAAGAGGGGCGACCAGTATGCTTTGATGCAACCTCACCTAACCATCCATTGTTAGGAATAAAACAATCTGGGATTACTGATGATGGTAACCACTACTGTGCGTACCAGAAACATCTACCTCAAACTTTACATCAAAGATGTCAAGAACCGCATGATAAAGGGGTGCGAAACATATCTTTATCACCACAATCACATGGTGGCTATGATAGAAGCAGATCTGGTGATGATCGCTGTGCTTGTATTCATAATTCCAATGCAAACAGGGAATATTCACCTAGCTCGCATTCGCATCATGTATACCATATGTATACAAATAAACTTTTGGATAAACAGTTTTGCAGTATTTGTTCTCATGGTTACCCGAATACTCCAAGTCAGTTTGCAACCTGTTTAAGTCCAGACATTTTGCATGAAAGTTGCCAGAATCCATCTTTACCTGAAAGTTGTCAGATAAATTGTAATACCGGGTCTTCGTGTTGTAAACATGATTGTCATTTACAAAACGTGCATTTACGCAGCGGTGTAAAATCATCATCCTTATTTTACAAAGACAACACATTGTGCAAATCTTGTGTTAATAACAGAGAGTGTCTTACACAGGTTGGAGCAAGAAGACACTGTTGTAATGGGGGCCATGTAGGCACTACAGACACAAAACATCACGATTGTCATGCTACAGCTTTCGGTGTTAAGTCATCGGCTTATCAGAATTGCAAAACACCCTTTGTCAGTAATGGAACTTCACAGTACAAACATGGTGCTTGCAGTCCTTCCAAAAATAGAAGACATCAGAATGAATCTGTACATTTCAACAACCACAGACTGCTTGCACCTGATAATAATTCAAAAGTCTTTAAAGCTTCAGTGAAGCGTTCTTTAATAGAACTGTCAGGATATGAAGATGAACAGCCTAGCGAAGTAAATATATTACTAGAGAGGTTCAGTTCTGCAGTTTCCTGTGACAACGCTTCTTCAGAAGATAAACAAATTACTCCCTTGAGTGACTACTTTAGCGCAGAATTGTCAGAACCCAGTCAATCTCCCACTAAGACAAAACATGATCAGCTTACATGCTTAATCCGCCAAGACCAGGATTCAGGAATAACGTCTGCACCTGGTAAATTTTTTCCACCTTTAAAAGGCTGTAGTGTTCAAAGTTCCAGTTTTGATGGAAGTACATTTTCTCTTCTGAGAGTTGAAGATAACTGTAGAGCTAAGGTTGAAACTAGGCTGAAGAAAGCTAAAAGGAACTCAATTCTCAAACCACAAGAAACTGTCACACCTCTACCGAAATTACATACAACACCACAAGAGAGGGTTGCAGAATTTATTCTTTCTGTTCAAAACTATATGTCCAGCAGTGATTGTGTTAATGATAGTTATCCAGACCATATTTCTCCAGCTCGTACATTGTCTGATAAAAGTAGACAGTTTGTAGAAGTCTGTGAAGAAAACAGCATGTACCATGCAGATCACGCTGAACTTCTCAACAAGATGGTGGCAAGGCCTTGTACCGTCTTAAATACATCAGAATCTTCTGTAGACACGTTCGCTACGTGTGATGAAGGCTATAATAATACCACAACACAGGTGAATGCTGAAACTCAAAAGGATCCAAAGGTAGGTAAAGCTAACTCAACACAAGAAAAATCTAAGGCTTCAGAAAAGTCAACAGAAGTCACCCCTGTGGTGCAGAGACCTGTAACTGAAAATAGTCCTTTGAGGTGGAAGCCACCTATTTCAGTACTTCCTGATGATGATGATATTATGACATCAGATGACAGCTTTGTTCGTAAAACCAGCGGCAGAGTATACAGAATGAAAATTCAACATAAAATTGCTCATTGCACTGAATCTACTGCAAGAAAAGAAGAGCAGACCTGTAAATTCTCTAGAAATGACCACACAATTTCTAAAAACGACCATTCAGTTTATAGAAATGAAACAAGTCCAGTGTCATATCAAGAGATTAAACAGGAAGACACTTTCACTCAGATATTCCCGGTCAGGAAACGACTGTCTAGTGACAGCTTGTTCAGCAGTGTGTCGTCAGTGAAGGAATATGTTTATAAGGACAAAGAAAAGAACATAACACTCATTGAGAGGCACATTCCTTCAGATTATGGAAGCAGCGTTGGCCGTAGGTCGCTAGAAAGCATAAACAGCAAAAGAACTGTAGATTCTGAAGCCACTTTAATTTATGACTGGCGTGCACTGAATGAAGTTTTAAGAACTGAAAACCCAGAAGCAAAACCTTCATCTTATAGTGTATTTGATAGCCGGTGTGCAACTGTTATTGACATTTCCTGTGCTGACAAAAAAGCTGCAAGTCTGCAAGAAAACTGTTCTGAAGAACAGTCGCCTCAGGAAAATGTGTCTGGCAGCACTGCTGAAGATGATGATGATGGTGAGAATGCTGCTACTTTTGTCATACCTGCTCATCTAGAAAACCTGACATGCCAGGAAATCTCTCAGGAGCTACAGAAGTATGGTGAAATCCCAGGCCCTGTGATACCCGCTACCAGACAAGCATATCTGCGCCGCCTCACAACTCTCCAGTCTAACCCAGGCCTTGTGATCTTGTCTAAAGCATGCCCAGGTATGTTTTCATCCATATTCCCACATACATGTTCAATAAAGTGTTAAATAGTGCTTGCTGTTTACTTTTCAAAGGTACGGGGTTATTCAAAATGATGAATACACTTTCATTCATGTATATTTCTATGAATATAAACTAAATGTGAATAATATCCATCAAGAGAGAGGGGAAGGTCTAAAATTTACAAACTCACAATAGAGGTTATAGATATTTAAAATGGCCACAGTCTGCTGCTGGGTAAACATCTGAGAGATAGTGAAACTCATCTCGCACATAAAGGAGCATCTCTTGCATAACTGCGTTCACTGCAACTGATGCGGTTCTGCAGGCTGGCCAGTTTTTGGTAGAGGTGGTTCAAAACTTCAGACCTTTCACTGTCTCTTGAAAGAGAGAAGCCCTAAAATGAACGTTGGCGAGAGAGGCTAAAAGTGTTGGACTGGATTCCATCTATGATAATGAAAAGACTGCACAAGGTAGACTGGAATGGAGGACTTGACTGTGAGCCCTATATGATGAGTAATGGTGCCCCAGGATGATAATGCCACTAGTGTATACTGCGTAAATTCTAAGCCTGTATTTGTGTTGACTTAACCGTGCACACTGGTTGAATGGTCATTATTAGGCTTATAATTATTATCATTATTGTGCTTAGAAGTATTATCCTTTGGTGCTTGTTTCATGTGGATTGAACCAAACTGCAGGTAAACCATTTATCCTGAATCGACCTCCATGGTGAGATCGTCAGGTCGTTTGCCTCGCGCTCTGAAGGTTGTGGGTTTATTTCATGGTGGCAGCATTCAGTTTCATAAGTGCAATTTTATTGGAGATCCTTGGGGATTGTCTCCGGAGCTATGGAGTTTGTGCTTAGTGTGAACATCTCGACAGGCTGCTAGCCGTTCTGCAAAGAGACTGAGCTAAATATGATAAACCCAGTGCAACGAAGTTGAGCCTCTCACCTTTAACCATCATATCATGAAGCAGTTTCCCTTGCCTTACCTCACCTGTGTCCTCCGCTGTGAAACATGCCACTCTGCATAAAGCATGCCTATTCTGACCTTCCTCAGCATGCTTTCTGAGTCAGTTACAATCATGATGTGTATGTCGTGTTCTCTAACCAGCAGAAAGCTGCAGGTACCTCCTCCACCTAAATTCTTAAGCTGGATGTTGTGGTATCATATGCTAGGCTCTACTGCACCAAACATCGACCATTAACATTTGCTAAGAAACCACAAGCACTTCTTTTGCCTCTTGATACTGAACCATCTGTATAAAAAATCAAATCCTCTGAGCAAGCATTGTCTTGAATTAATTGCTGAATTTCCACCTCTGTGGCACCTGCATTCCCAGCTCAATGTGATTATGACCCTACACAAGTCTGACTGTGCAGCTGACCCTTTATTCCATTCCTCTCCTCGCCTCATGTTCTCAAGGATGCAAACCTGTGCTGATTGTGTCTTCTGCCTGATCCATCCATGACTTCCCTCTTATCAGCCGCTGTCCCTTAACTGTGCCCAGAGTTTCATGTAGAGGGTGGTCTGTGTCTGCAGCTACCATGAGATATGACTTCGCCTGCAGCAGATTGTGCCTACCTGCAGCAGTCGGCAAACCAAGGATGTATCGCATACACACCGCTGGGGTGTCTCTGGTGCAAACCATAATGACCCGCATAGCTGCGTTCTGTATGCGCTCTAGTTTGTCCATCTGACCTACATACATTTCAGTTTCTGAAATATGCTGTTTATGAACCAGTTTTCTCAAGTGATCAGATCTTGTAAAATGACAGCATTTTTTCTTTTGATTCAAGGTATTCTAAAAAAAATTTCCCCTGGCTCTGTCCGTATTTGTCAGGAAAAATACATTTTCTGAAATGTTTTCTCTAAAACAGAAAATGATTATTAGATTTTAGTATTCACACTTTATTTTCTTTTAAATGTGTTACATTTGTTTCTCATCCTCATCAGATTATCCAAATGAAATGCGACAGGCGTTGAATGGGCAGTTTGATATGTCAGGTCTTGTAGAATTGGAATCCAATATGATTGATGTTTTTAATATTCCTAAAAATGGTCCCTGTTGGCGTGAGGGAACTGAAAAATCATCCTTCACATATTTGCTGCTAGATCCTCGTATCACAGAAAACCTTCCATTAAGGTCAAAGAATCTGAGTGAGTATTTGCACTGTAGAATTTTCTTTGGGAGGGGATGGGTGGTGGGGTGTGCAGACGCTAAGGTACAACAGTTGATAGAGGACAGCTCTAGGCCAGGAGATATAATTATATACACTGATGGTTCAGTGGCCAGGGACAAAAAGAGTGGATGGGGCTTCATTGCAAAAGCGTGAGAGAAAAGGATGACAGAGGAGAGCTTAGCATATAATAACTATATCCGGCATGAGAATAGAGGTTGAGGCTGTAGCTGCGGAGTTCCGATGGGTGGAGAAAATCTCAGCCACATATATCGTCATAGTATCGGATTTGCAAAGTATGTTCATGGAGGTGGAGTCAGGGTTTCCACGTAGGAAATGGGTCACTTGGGTCCAGAGGTTGCAGGTGTTGAGAATCATGTTGATATTTTGCTCCGGCCATGTTGATGTGGGAATGAGCAGGCAGTAAGTTGGCTGGACTAGGGGTGTACGGCAACCACACAAGGCAGTGGTGATCTCATGCCTGTGGAACGAGGTAACAAGTAAAAATTGAAGATATCGAAAACCCGTAACTGCAAAGAACAGTGCTGTGGAAAGTGGGTACTGTCAGTACTGAGACTCTTTGCTGGCTGTTTAGGAGGGAGACAATGCTAAAATGGGCTTATCCTGAAAGCTGTGATGTTAAATCTTTACCCAGGTGGGTTGAAACCTAGAGAAATTCCCTAGTGAATGAAGGTCCAGTATATACATGCCTGTCAGTTCAGCAAGTGAATGAGTGGAGTAGAAAGTTTCAAAACGGTGGGATATCTGTGACAGACTGTTCACGAACAGGCCAGGTACACTATGTGGTGGTCCTAGAGTCCATCATGGCAGTTGAAGGTCTCATACATGAAAGTTAATAGAGGCTTCAGATGAAAACCTTAAATGTTTATCTGATGAATTCATTTAGGTTTCACCCCTTCACTGATCAAAACATGGGTAATAAAATGCTGCTCCTCTTTGGTGCATGTCAAAAGTGTGGCAGCCATCTTTAAACTGTCGTGGCATCATCATGTTCATCTACAGCTTGATGTCACATGCTTAATACCTTTGACATCCTTGATAACATTACTGAAGAGTTACAGACAATGGTATTGTTATTGTAATTTCCATCACACTTGTAAGGTTTTCATTTGACAGTGAACGTTTTTTAGCATGTTTTTCAAGAGTGCAAATTTGACAATATTGCACACTGGATGGACAAAAGATAAAGAGATAAATATTATGATAGCTAGAACCAAATGGTGCTGGTAAGAAAATATCTGCAGAAATTATTTGAAACTACTGATTGTCTGGTACGGAAGTCAATGGTCGCACGTGCATATTGGTATTGTATGTGCTGATTATAAGTACAGAGAAGAAGTCATGTGATTTGATTTTTATTTTATTTGACACTTTATTAAAATTAATTTTTGCATCTATATTAAAATCTTATTGCATTTACTTTTCAACTAAATTTAAAAAAAAAAACACGATTATTTTTCTTTTCTTTAAGGCGATCTCGAGGTGTTCAAGACATTCATCTGTTCCATTTTTTACATTGGGAAAGGCAAGAGGTCACGACCCTACTGTCATCTGTATGAAGCTGTGTCTAAAATGAATAAAGTAAACGTCAAGGTAGGTCGTCTCCACTGCTGGAGTGTGAAATGTTAGATCATTACATTATGCAGTAGGGAAAAATCATTGCCTCAAAGTAGATACAAACACATGACCACTTAGCATGCTAGCTGCTGCTCTGTAAGCATGCTTACTACCAGACGAAACTATCTCATTTTGATGTCTCTGTGTCCTGACCATGTCTCTTTTTAATAGAAACATTGAGGTAAGCAATGTGATTCTGCAGTTCTTGATGTCAGACATCTTATGACATAAGCACAGAGAAAATAATTAATTGGATCGTCTGCTGTTTCACCTTGGAGACCTGGTAAGGACTGGCTTCTAATTTAGGAATTCTTAAAAACCCTTTCATACATGGAACATACAAAAAAAAACCTAACACTTCCATTTAACAATATTATATACATTTCATACAGAAGTAGTCAGTAAACATGAATGCAGCAGAGAATAAACTTGGTAACATCTCTCTGAGCCTTAACAAAATTATATTGTGACTCATTCTTGACTTATGGCCTATCATTTAGATTAACATCATAATTTGTATTTAAAAGGTTGTTTAATTTTATCAAGGAAACTCCACCTAAATGCGATTTGTTTAAGAAAAATATAACTCCTAGTGCTGCTAAATGTTTGTGCAGATATGAGGGATACCAGTGCTGTAAGTTAGCCTACTTGTGAACAAGCCACTATAGCAGTATCAGTAGTGACATTTACATGGCGATTGGCACAGGCTGCAAGTGTTGGGTTAAGTCTTCCGCAGTGGAAAAATCTACTACTTTTCCAAAATTTAAGGATTGTATTAGTATGTGTATATCCCCGTGTGGGTTCCGGGTCTCCATCATGGGGAAAACAAGAATAGACCCTCTGCCTACCCAAAAGCATGTCGTAAGAGTCGACTAATTGGGGAGCTTCGTTTGAAGTCGGAGTGCATCTGCCTGAGAGGCAAGGAACCAACAGTCTGCATTCAAGTGAATCAGATCTGTAAAACTGATGCACACGCAACACTCAGGTTCTGGAGCAGGGCTGCAGTTCAAAAGTGGATGAACAACCAGAACTTTCCACCAGAGTGTACAGCTGGTGAACGCGAAGAAGAAGAAGAGTATGTGTATAGATAAGATTGGTCCAGTTTTTGGTCTCAACCATTTCTTTGTTACATTTTCAGATGAATGCTAAAGTGAAACAGATAATAGATATCTGGAGTGCTGGTCTTGGTGTGGTTTCACTTCACTGTTTCCAGTCCGTGATACCCGTAGAAGCTTATACCAGGGAGGCTTGCATGATTCAGGCTATTGGTCAGTGCTCTGTTTTTAAACATGTTCCTTTTGAGATGTGTTACATTTAGAGAAGCTAGTGGGTTTCATTGGCCATTTTGGAATGATTGGGTTGTCTAAAGTAATGACTGAATGCACAGTTAGTGTTTACTTGATACTGTTGTAGCTAAAAATCTTTGCATTTAAATCTGCAGCATCAAAAGAAGAAAGGTGGACCACATCATGCATGAACATGCACACATAAAAACACATCTACACACAAAAAGATAATTAAAGATGGTAGGAACATAGGGTGAAAGATCAAAATAGTAAAGGATATGACAATCTGGCGTGAGTTGTTGATTTAGGTAGCAATGAAGAGAAATGTGGGGAACAGATGAGATATTAAAATAAGAATACATTAAAACTTTAGGGCTGATGATCCATCCACTAAAGGAATATAGGATAGAAAAACCAGTATAAAAACTGAATAAGTTAACTATAAACCTTGGTCTCACATTTTGTAAAGGTATCTTATGTCAGACACTGTCAGAGAGATGTCAGGTGTTGGACCTTCATATCTGCTAGGTCAGTCGCTAGTCACTAGTATATTGGGGTGGGGTGACAATAATCAAATTTTTTATTCAGGTACACATCCCTATTGGTAGTATAGTTTGTAAAGCTTACACAGACATTCTAATATTTATATGGATCTCATATTTGTATGTTCTTACTAAACTTCAAGACTATGTTAGCTTTTACTTCATTGCTGTAAGTGTAGCAGATAGTGTGGAAGTTAAATAGCGACCAACCAAAAGACAGATAACTATTGACTTCCCTACCATGAACTACAGGATCAAGATCTGGAGGGCTCGTGCATACCTCAAGATAAGAAGCTCAGATCTGAAGCACCCTTTGCACCACATGCTCTTCAAGAAAAGCGGCAATAGACTTAAAAGGGGCAAATCATGGCTGGGTAGGGCAGAAGATGACATCATGCAGGTTTGCTGCCTTACAGACATCCATCCAGGTGAGGAGTGGATACCAGAGTCTAAAGCGCCCAATCTCACATTCTCCTGTGTCGTGACGCTCGATAGGAGTTGTCAGTGCCGAGGTATGCGCGCGTATCAGTGACAAAGTCAGATGAGACAGATGTGGTGATCTTCACAGATAGGTCTGTTATACGAGGACATAAGAGTGCATGGGCATTTACAGCTCGCTCTTCAGGCAGAACAGTTAAGGAAGCCAGCAGTGCCTTCTCCATGACCACCAGCAGCATGGTGATGGCGGTGACACAGGCTTTCATGTGGCTGGGATCACAGGACTATTCCCGCGTGTGTGTGCTGAGTGATTCTTTGAGTATGATCTGGCGGGTCGAGGCAGGCTGGTTATGCAGACAGTGGCTTGAGTCATTGCGAAATTCTCCTGTGTTTGCAGTTACTTTCATATTCTTCCCAGGGCATGCAGGCGTTGGTAATGAGAGAGCTGATAGACTGGCAGGTACTGCATTAATTGAAGATGGCTGGCCCATGGATCACGCGGACATTGTCATTGCCCTTAGAGAGATAGGACGTTCTGAGGATTTTGGAAGCAACGTGTCCACATCATTTCTAAGAATACGTGAATTGGGAGTAAAGGTCGGCACAGCCAAGCATGAGAAGCACACTGGACGCACACGAAGTCTTGTTAACTAACACAGGACTGGTACTGTCAACCGCACAGCACTGATAAATATGTTGAAAGGGGAATCTGAGTGCCTATGGATGTGTCTGGAGTGCTGTGAAGATAATCTAACTCATAACTATTGACAATAATTTATTACAATTATACGCTTACCCACACACACACAAGTTTCTGTATTATATGTAAATTTTCCCATTTCTTTGCTGGTGGAGAGGGGGAAAGAAACTAGTACTTTTCTTTTTCATCACCTCATTACGGGGTTCTCTCCCCCACCCCAACAAGCAGGTTGCACAAGGTGACCAATTAGGTTTTTTTTTAATTAGACATACTGGCACAGATATTGCAGCTCAGCTGTAAACCACAACAAATTGTGCTAGCCAGCCTTTTAAGGGAAAATACAGAAGACACGCATATTGTTGCCAAGCTCATAATGATCAGGCAGGTCCTTTTGCAGAACACTTCTTCTTCTTCACTTCCTCTTTTACCGCTGTGGGTGTCGAGGGAGATATAAGGTTCTGTTTCTAGCTCTTCTGGCCGCCTCGACCATAGGCACATCATGCTGTTGTAGAGTTTCTCTGATGTTATCCTTCCATCTTGTTCTTGGTCTACCTCTTGCTCTACGTCAGATACCGTTTGATCAGTCCGTTTATATCTCATTGTGTTTTCTGTAGCGATAATAAATCCATTGCCGGCTTGCTAGGCCTGTGGCAACTTCACCAGAGTCCAGTTAGCCAGTACTCCGCCCACACCTACAGAACACTGCTGCACTATCTCTGTGTTCCTTGCCAGTTCTCCTGCCTTCTCTTCCAAGAATCATGTCACCCACTCTTCTTTCTAACCTGCTACAGTGTTTAACACGGCTGAAGTTATTTCATTATTTACACACAACAATGAGACTGCTATGTCCCAAGAAACTGACCAGAAAGGCAACAGTTCCCTACAGAAGTTGGTTGTGCTGTAGGTTTCAGGGCCCCACTTTAGGGGAAAATAATAGACCCACTGCCTCCCTGACAAGCATTTCGTAAAAGGCAGCCATTAGGGGTTTGTTCCCGCTGCAGTCGGGGTGCATTTGCCAGAGTCTGCATACAAGTAAGCCAGATCTGTAAAACAGATGTGCATGCAAAATTATATTTCTGGAACAAGACTTAAGTCCAGAAGTGAACAAAAAAAACCGTAATTTTCCATTGGAATTAACAGTTGTGAATGCAAAGAAGACAGTAGAATAATGTGTCAGCCCAAAGATTGCGGCACTTTTGTAAACATACTTTGGATGAATGCAGAAGATTATTTCAGGGTCCGAGAAATGTTGTTTATGAATCAGTTTTCTTTAATCATTCAGATCTAATCTAAGAATGTCAGTAATTTGTTACACCGTCATAACAAAATCATGGACTAAAACTTGTATCTCGCTCTATTCGCACTGACAGGTCTACACAAGCTTACAAACATGAAACAAGGAGACTTCTATGGGGCTGCATTATCCTGGTCTGCCGCCCAGCGCAGAAAGATGGGTGTTTATTTCCTCAGGAAGGCATTACAGATATTTCTAGCTGAAGGAGAAAGACAAATATGCTTGCCTGATCTTAAAAGTAATCAGACATAATGATTACTGACTCATTTTCAATTTCATAGTGGTATTAGAAATTTGATGTACGGAAATTTGTAACATTGATGTCATTTGTGTGAACTTCACATGTGGAGTAAGTAAGACGATTTGTATGTACATTGGATTTGTCTGTAAAGGTTGTGTACATTGGTTTTGTCTGTAAAAGTTGTTTTAAAACATGCATTAAAAAAAAAAAGCAACTGTGTAAAATAGAGCAGAAAACAACCATATTAACCTTTATATGGAAATTTTGTGTGTGCTTGTAGGCGTATTTATAATTTTTAACAGAATGAACCCAGTGACTACCAGGATTGCACATTATGCGATCGGCCTACGGTTATGCCTGGCAGCTTTAATCCCTGTGATTGTAAGTTTAGATGTTTGCTGCCATGTTAAAATTGCAAGTTTTGCGATAAACACAGTTTAAGCCTTTATTCCATTCATTTCTCTATATTTCTTACTGATACCACCAAGAACTGGAACTTTTCGCTTGCTTTGAAGATGGGGACAGAGCGCTTATGGGATATCCCCGAGTGCTCTGATGTCGATTCTTAATTCAACATTCTGTATTTCTTTAACACTTTGCTGACCAAATTTGAACTAGTGACCTGTAACTGCAAACAGACTGCCTTGCCAATCATATTTGGATTAGGCTTCATCCAGGTATTTATTCCAAGACGGGTGCAAAACTGATATCGCTTAGAGCCATTACAAGCATTACTTTAGTGCAGTTTTGTTAGTTCTTTGTTACAAGTGCACATTCAACCTTTTCATCATGTCTGAGGACCACAACTGGACTTTTAGTAGAGGTGATTCTGATTCTACCAGCAAAAGTGGCGCTGAAAATGATAATTCCTGGCTAAGTAGAGAAATGCCAGTGAATGATATCGCAACTGAAATTAGTGACAGCAACGATGGACTTAATTAACAGAGGTGATGTAGAAAGAAGTGGGCATGGCACATGAGACTAGAACATTTCTAAGGCTGAAAATGAAGTTTAGAAATGAAGAAAAGCTGTTCAAAATGAAATTGTTGACAATCTTCCTCCAAATGAAGAACAACAAGGTGTCATGTCATGGGTATGTGCCAATTGATATTTTTAAAGCTTTTTTTTTTTCTCTGACACTGTCATAGATCTGATCACTTATGACGTCAGTAGGTATGGTGAAAATCACCTTTCTCAGTACACAGGAAATGCCAAGTACAAAAAGCTGACTTGGGATTATACTGATGCAGCTAAAATTTCTGCATTCATAGACCTTCAGATTGGTATGGGAATGTGTTGTAAACCAGCAGTTTCCGACTACTGGTGTCAGAATTTTTAGCTGAATGAAACCGTATTCAAAGGCCATGAGTCAGAACAGACACCAGTTGCTCCAGTGAAATCTTCATTTCAACAGTAATGTCAGAAATAAAAGAGGATATGATCCCTTGTTCAAGCTCTGACCCCTACTGGACATCACACTTTCTACATACAGGCATATATATCATTAACAAAGAGACAATGTATTAATCGGCACTCATAGAAAGCAATACTGCACACTGAGATGCCAGTTATCAATAGTCGAATCAATGGTGAGGTTCAAAGACAGGATATATTTTAAGCAAAACCTGCCAGCAAAGCATGGATTCAAATTATTTATACTAACTGATGCTAAAATTGAATACTGCCTTAAAATAGAGATTTCCACTGGTAAGGCAAATAAAAGTTGTGTTAGGACAACTTCCAAAGTTGTGAAACATCTTCTTGATGGAAATGGTTACAAATTACATACTCTGTTGTGACAGCTTTTATTCAAGCCCAGCATTTTTATAAGAGCTGAAAAGTCTTGGGTTGGTGTATGTGGAACTGAATCTGAAAGTAGGAAGCATTGTCCTGATATGTTGAAGAAAAAAGCACCTGAAACTTTAAAAGGTAGATTATTCTGTGTTTTATGTGACAGAAAATAAAGGCATGTTGGCCATTACCAGGCATGACACTGAGAGAGTTAACCTACCTACTGTTCACTCCAATGATGTTATGGACAAGACAGGAAAAGGGGAATTCCTGAGGGCAGAATAATAAACAAGCCAGTTCTTGCAGAAAAATACAACAAAAAAGTTTTTTTTTGGGGGGGGGGGGGGGGGTGTCGATCACTTTGGCCGAGTGCAAGATACCCCTGCCAACAAAGATCCTATAATTGGTTCCTGCCATTGTATCATTTTTTAGTTGAAACTGCTCTGGTCAAGGGGCAATTAAGCTACAACACTGCCAACTCTACGAATAAGATCACAACAAAGAAGTTCATTCAGGATGTCAGTGGTGCTGTTATTTGACCTGCTGTTCTTCGGCACAATGTAACACCTTCAAGACCACAAGTCACAACATCACGACTTACTGAGTGCCATTTTATTGAAACATTTGAACAGCCAGGGTACAAACCAGACTGTAAAAGTGTGTAAGGCTGCAGGTAAAAGAAGCCACACTTGCATGTACTGCCCAGACTGCAATATACCTCTATGCTTGACACCCTGTTCCAAGCTCTATCACACTGTTGAAAATTATCGTTCCCGACAAAAACTCTTGCAGGTCTCCAGCTTCAACTCCAATTAATGAAGGAGGTAGCTCAGACTTCAACTAGAGGTACTTTTATAATCAAGCATTCACAGATACTCACTGTAATATATACACAATAAACGGGGGGGGGGGGGGAATCCAATTTATTCCCATTTTTATTAGATTTTAATGTTGAAATATTTGGCTTATTTTATTTATCGCTAACCATGTCACCAACAATTTTTTGCAATAACATTGAACAAACTCATTAAAAACTGGAAAAAGATAGTTTTAAATAATGTGAAATTTCTATAAATAGCTAAACAAAATAAGATAGCCGCTATGATCATGTGACATATTTGCATAATATATCTTTTATTCATGTGTAGCAACCATTTATAATGGTGATCTAAAAGATTTCAAAACCATAGACTCATTTTTAATTTTGTTTGTATGAATTTTATTAGAAAACCAGTCATTTTGAAAAAAAAAAAAAAATTATAAACACCCTTGGTAATGGGAGACAGTAGGGCACCGAATTGCTGGTCAGCAAAGTGTTGAAGGGAAGTATTTTTAATGCTTAATTGTTTTATTTTATTGGTGAGCTTCCCTGATGAATTTGCTAATGACATTGCTTGTCCGCCCCATACACATGTGGGGAAACAGATGAGATACTAACATGAGAATACAAACACCAAAAAAAACCTATCTCAAGATTTTATTGTGAATATTTTGTTGTTTCACCTTCTGCAATCAGTATTTTTTTAATGTATAATGTACTTAAGAGATTTTTGTATATACATTTTACTTTGTCAGCTCAATAAAATATTAAAGTATTAAGTGCTGAATATAGCATTTGCAGAATAGCGTGTGCTGAATAGAGCACATACAGAGAAAATCCTATTGATATATATTTAGAAAGTAATGCCTATAGAATCAACAGGGCAGAAAAAAAAAGGTAAAAGGACCTTTTCTATGCTTTCAGGTGTACTGAGCAGTAGTATATAGGGCTAAACCTATATTTTATAAACAAATTGTCATCTGGTGAGTGATGTGGTCAATATCAGGCCGGCCACCTTTACTTACGAGGACTCAACCTGGTACCCATTTAAGGCTGGCTTGACCTACGAGTCAAGGTAACTTTTGACAGAAGTCCAGCACCGTCTGGATTTGAACCCATGATCTTCGGATCTGCAGGTGAGCATCTTGCCGCTATAATACGATGGCTCCTCAAAGAAGAAAGCAAGGCAGTCTAAAATTTCCCAGAAATGAACACTACAGGCAGTATGGGGAGAACATGGAAAAGGGTTTTGGGAAGACTGCAACAGATAGTAGAACTCAGTGTGAGCTGGTTAAACATATGCACCACTGGACTAGCATCATATACTCACTGTGTCAAAGAGGGGGGTCCTTTTACTTATACTACTGTAAACAATGACAATAAATGTAATGTGAACATACATGCAAATTCACTCAAAATAAAACAGAAGCAGTTTTATGTAACTCATTTTAATGTGGAATGCTCATTGACTTCTTGTTTTTTTCTCTAGCCCTGTTTTGTCTTTCAGCATCAGGTTTGAGCCTTGTTATGTGCTATGTAGATTCTGGTGATTACAGCCTCGAATACTCCATACATCTTCATCACTTGCATGGTCCTGGTCACTGGTCCTGTCTAAAAACAGGCTACCTGTGTAGTACAGCCTCAATTTTCTCAAAAACCACTTGGGTAATAGTGGCCAGATCTGCACAACCATCAATATATTCTGGAACACAAAAATAATTTAACATCACTGCAAAGTGGTAGGTAAACTTGCTCAAATAAACTAACAACAGGTATTCTTTACATCAATACAGTTCTGCTCAGTGTCTTGACAACCTCAAACACGGTGTTCTGATCATAGCAGAAAGCTTTTGGCAAAGAAAATTATAAAGGCACTGTTTGTGTGTGTATAGGTAGAAAGCTTATTAGTAAAGAATAGAGAATTAAAATTAAGTGAATTAAAATATCTAGAGTCTTTTATCACTTCAGATTGGAGGAATCAACACACAATGGGCAACATCAAAACAAATACTGAGAACATTAATACTACTTCTGACATTATCAGGGGAACATTTCAGAAGACAAGCTGTTGGGGTAACAAGGGGGAAATAACTTACAAGTTAGGACCAGGTCTGACATAAACTAGTCGCAATTCATACAAGAGTTTTGCCCCCTAACAAAAAAATACCCTGCCTCCAACTACCACAGAGAGCTGTGATGGAGAAATGTATAAAATGGAATGCCATACCTTAGAGAGATGAAGACTTATGTCATATTCCTAGAGATAGTAGATAACAATCAAACTTCACTGTGGAGACAGCACCAAAAAAAATAACATTTGAGACTAAGTAAAAGGACTCTTTTTTCCCCACTGTGGTGTGCAGCATTAATGATTAGTTTATTTGATTATGGAACTAATTAGCATCCATAGGTGATGCAGGCAATATCCTTTTGGCAGCCTTTACTTCTCATAAATTTTGGCTGAGTAAATCATTCATTACAGTTTATTATTGATATATTTCTATTTACAGAGATCATGTAATTTAAATGCATTAGCTTTCTGTGAAAGTGGCTAATTTTAGTGTCAGCTGGGAATATTTTTTTCTTTCTTTTAATATATACAAGTTTTTACTCGTACTTTTATCGTGTTTGTTGTAATCGATGTATATTAATCTATCACGAGTCCCACCTTGATATAACAGCTTTTGTTCTGTTAAAAACTGCTCAGTCCTACTTTGTAGATCTTAGGATTAATTTACATGCCAATTGCTTTTATATTGATCGTGTGTTATTAATGGTGTTCCTTGTTAATATTTCTTGTAAATTCTGTTATCTGTTGTCAGCATCTAACATTCCACTTCTAAAATATTTTATTTCTGTTGTTTCATTGACATCATGTTTTTGTTTTTGCACGATACTGAATCCACAAAAAGTTAACCATGTTGTCCTGTAAAAAAAAAATTTTTTTTTAATTACTTTTTCCAATTATTTTTTTTCACTATTATACTTCGCTGAAATCTACCTAAGAAACTAGAGGAAGAGAAGAAGGAGCAGAAGAAATCCGAAATCCTGGTCAGTCTTTATAAACATTCATGAGTGTTCAACCCCTAGACCACAGAGCAGACAGGCAAGCATGAAGGCTACAGCTTCTTCACCACCATAAGGTCGTTAAAAAAGATTGACGCATAATTTGTTTTCCCTCTTCAGGTCACTATTTTAGGCACAGGTAATTAAAAAAATTCTTTTTTATGTGAAATGAAATACAAACAGCAAAGAATTCATTGCTTTCTTGCTATTTGACCATGAAAATGGGTGTTTTGTTGAGACAGTCATGTGCAGCAAAGTTACATCATAGGGTTATTACAATGTCAGTTTTTAAAAACCTTTTTTAATCCACTCCTATTATCTCAATTTGCTGTTTTAAATATAGTAATTACAGTCGGTACCAAACCTGTTATACGGGCATAGTGGCCACTGTCTAAAGACTTCATGTCATCAAAAACCCAGAAAAGTCAGAAAAATTGCTTTTTTGGGGTGACTGTTAAATGCCATAGTGTTGTGATCACTGAGATTTTAAGGCAGCTGTTCTTACATTTTACTTTGTTACCACCACTCAAAGAAACAACTGTAGCAGAATAACACAAGCTGAAGTACTGTTTTCACAGAAGGTGTCTAATTTCAGTCAGTGAGCTCCCTGTGTGGGTTCCGGGGCCCCATCGTGGGGAAAACAAGAATAGACCCTCTGCCTACCCAAAAGCATGTTGTAAGAGTCGACTAATTGGGGAGCTTCCTTTGAAGTCGGAGTGCATCTGCCTGAGAGGCAAGGAACCAACAGTCTGGTTCAAGTGAATCAGATCTGTAAAACTGATGCACATGCAACACTCAGGTTCTGAAGCAGGACTGCAGTTCAGAAGTGGGCGAACAACCAGAACTTTCCACCAGAGTGTACAGCTGGTGAACGCGAAGAAGAAGAAGAAGTCATTGAGTGAGGTGTAGATATCTCTGTGTTATTATGAGGGTCTGGTATTGTTCTGATTGACAGCTATATATAGCAGAATAGTTAGCTGTGCCAAGAAACTATGATTGTGTCACCAGTCTAACAGGACAACTACAGTAGCTTGCATCAGTATCATATAAATACTGAAATTTAACTTTTTTTTTTGGAGAGATGGGACAACTGCAGAGAAACAAAGAGGTGAAGGAAGGTTAAAGAACATTTACCAATATCCGCCTGGCTCTTTAAGTCATCAAGATGCTTCAAATAAGACGGCCAAACAATATTGTCAAAGTAGCCTGGTGTATCCGGGGGATTGTATGTTCTGTGTCTGTAGAAAGAGGAGAGGGCAGGTTCATTAATGGCCAGGGGTAATTGATGCTCAAATGTGAGGCATAGCTGAAATCAAATAAAATCACTTTACTATCAAAACAACAAACACGGGCAAAAAATGTGACTTTTTAATATTACAAAATAGTGTTTATTGTTTCTCCAATGAAACAGAAAATTTTTCTGTTATGACCTTTTTTTGTTGTGTTACTAACTGATGGTCTTTCTGTTTCAATTAATACTTCTTTTGTTTTTAAAAGTTTACACAGAGCCCTTCTGATTTGGCAGTGAAATGTGTCGAAGATTTTATAACACTTTTGACGTGGAACACTGATTTATGTAGGGCATACAACTGTAACTTACATCCACCATTGAATGAACTGTCCTGTGTGCATTCCAAGGCCCCATAGTCGGGAGGAGCAAAGAGCCATGGCCTCTTAGCAAGCATGTCATAAAATGCAACTAAGATTTTGCTGAAATCGGATGTGTTGAGATGAAAGTGGCAGATATTGTAGCTGCCTAAACCATAACACAACATGACAAACTTCCCGTTAACAGCTTCATGCAGAAGAAACAACTGTTGGCCCATGAGATCTTAAATGCTCTGTCTCCTTTATAAAAAATAATATCTCTATTTTTTTTGTGGGGGGGGGGGGTGTATCATAATCATACCCAGCATGTCCATAGACTATAGTTACAGTAGTTACAACCAGTACAGTACCAAGTAGAGGCCACTGCCCAAAGACTTCATGAAATCAGAAACTCATAAAAGTCACACACACAACATTTTTTGTAAGAGCTTTCCCAGTTTTAAATGCTGTTGTGCAATGATTATTGGGATTTTAAGGCAGCTGTTCTCTCAGTTAATGTTGTTACCACTGTTCTATTCATTTCATTGTCTTTTTAATTTTGTGTTATCAAAAACTGTTCCATTTTGAATATTTTTTTACCACCTTCTACATTCAGAACTGTTAAGGTGTAATGTACTTATATATATATATATATATTTTTTTTTACATACATTTTACTTTATCAGCTTTATTAAATTTTATCATAATTTTTGTTAACATTCTTTTTTAAAGTTCTATCTATATAATAAAGTTCCAGTGTTTATTAAAGCTAAGCTTGGTTTTATGTCAGATATGTGAATTCCACAACAGGTATCAAATAGAAATTTAATAAATGTAAGTGCTTAAAAATTGTGAGATTAACACCTAAACTTAAAAATGTTATGGTAAGTGAACTGCATACCATAACAGTACCAAAGAATTCGCCATTCATTATTTCTTGGTTCGCCCTAAAGACATAATATTATACTTCATTCTATTATAGAAAAGTTATTACAACGACACATTCTATCCAAACACAGTTTAACTGCTTATATTTAATTTTTAACTCCTTTAGGCATAACTGCCTAAAGGTTTCAAATGGAACTCCTTGGAATAGGATGAGTTAACATAAATAACTGTATAGGACCAAAAAAGTACCAACACGAATATAAAACTACTACTGACCATCTGAGTAGGAGAAAACTTGCCTACTTTCACAAATGAATGGATCAAGAAATGTAGTATTATTCTGTGCCAATTTATTTCTCTTATGACTTCATGTCTGACAGCATAATTAAGGGTCTGATGAAATTAGATATTCTGTGCCAATTTATTTCTCTTATGACTTCATGTCTGACAGCATAATTAAGGGTCTGATATAATTAGATATTCTGTGCCAATTTATTTCTCTTATGACTTCATGTCTGACAGCATAATTAAGGGTCTGATGAAATTAGATATTCTGTGCCAATTTATTTCTCTTATGACTTCATGTCTGACAGCATAATTAAGGGTCTGATATAATTAGATATTCTGTGACAATTTATTTCTCTTATGACTTCATGTCTGACAGCATAATTAAGGGTCTGATGAAATTAGATATTCTGTGCCAATTTATTTCTCTTATGACTTCATGTCTGACAGCATAATTAAGGGTCTGATATAATTAGATATTCTGTGACAATTTATTTCTCTTATGACTTCATGTCTGACAGCATAATTAAGGGTCTGATGAAATTAGATATTCTATGCCAATTTATTTCTCTTATGACTTCATGTCTGACAGCATAATTAAGGGTCTGATATAATTAGATATTCTGTGACAATTTATTTCTCTTATGACTTCATGTCTGACAGCATAATTAAGGGTCTGATATAATTAGATATTCTGTGCCAATTTATTTCTCTTATGACTTCATGTCTGACAGCATAATTAAGGGTCTGATGAAATTAGATATTCTGTGACAATTTATTTCTCTTATGACTTCATGTCTGACAGCATAATTAAGGGTCTGATATAATTAGATATTCTGTGCCAATTTATTTCTCTTATGACTTCATGTCTGACAGCATAATTAAGGGTCTGATATAATTAGATATTCTGTGCCAATTTATTTCTCTTATGACTTCATGTCTGACAGCATAATTAAGGGTCTGATGAAATTAGATATTTTGGGCTAAAAGGTGCAGATATCTTACCTGAGATGTAAAGCATAACCACAAACGCAGATGAGGAAAACCTACAAGCTGTTGGCTGTGGATGAGTGTATCAAAATGGGAGCATGCTTTTCAGCTGCCATGATGTCTGGTATCTCATGATCCCTAAGCTATAGGCAGTCCTGTGTTTACCCTTTAAAGGGCAGTTGTAACTGTTAGACTATGACATCTCTGCCCAACACATCCACACACCCATAATTAGTGGCCTTTAGCTTTTTAAATTCTCATTTAGGGGCAAAAATGGTGAAAATATGGGGGGGGGGGGGGTGACTGCAGTCAAGCTAATACAAGGAATTGCAGAGAAATTTGACTAAAATGCTCAACAAAATGGGGAAGCAGAAAAACGGGCACAAAACAACACAACATAACGTTTCGACTGGGCTGCCTTTTTCAAACATAAGTGAACTACACAAACGTAACAACGAGGAGATGAGAGTATGTAGATTTCAACAACGAGGAGATGAGAGTATGTTAGACCAACTGAAAAACATTTTGTAAGAGTATGACTGATTATGGTTTCCTTCAAAGTCGGGGTATATCTGCCTGCGGGACAAGGTACCAAGTCTGCATAAAAATAAGTCACATCTGTAAAACGGATGTGCATGTAGAACTCAAGTTCTGGAAGAAAACTAAAGTCCAGAAGTGGACGAACAACCATCATTTTCCACCAAAACTACAGCTGGTGAATGGGAAGAAGTAGAATATTCTTTGTGGATTAGAAAGCACGTTTGTATGATATAATTAACACTTTTCAGCTTAATTCAAATACAAAATGTACCCTTCCTTCCACCCTATCAGTCTCAATGATTATAAATGGAAAAACATTTTGTAAGGACAAAAACGTTAAAACTCACTTTCTTCGCTCTTCACAAACTTCTTTGGTAATTGTAAAGAAAAACTGTTTCTCTAATAAGGCAGCCAGCTTCCTGGAAGATATACAATTTATTATGATAATGTAATCACGCAGTATGTTCTATTATTGTATGTTACACTGAAAATAATATTTAATATTGAATTGACTGCTCTGTAAGAATAATAATTATGGTGTGGCTCTGTGGCATAGCTGTTAGTGAAGGCATTTAACACTGTCTTGTTTATTTTTTTTTTTTTTTTTTAGTATTTTCATTTCCTATGGTGAATTTAAATAATGTGGACTCAAATAATACTTTACTTAATTTACTGTTCTGACATATTTTGCTATATCTTGTCAGGTGTGTTACTTTAGAGTTACGTCAATATATAATAAAAAGTAAAGGACCCTTTTCCACACCTTTAGGCGTGTAGGGCTAGACCCATATTTTATAGACCAATCGGCACAAGATGGGTGATGTGGTCTGCATCATGCCAGCCGCCTTTACTTCCCGGGACTACCCCTGGTACCCCACTCCAGGCTGGGTCGACCTGAGCCAAGGTCATTTTTTTAAAAGTCTGGCTCCGCCAAGGGGCAAACCCACGACTTTCCGATCCGCGGCAAGCGCCTAGCCGCTCCGCCACAGCGACTCCCATCAATATATAATAAAGCAGCAAAACTGAATAATACACATACATACAAATACATGCACACACACACATACATGCACCATAAAATGGTCTGTCAACATAGGACAGGCTAAGAGCATTTTATAAAAACGAATGTTTTATGCAATAAATCTGTCACTGTAGGTTGGTTTAAATATATAGCTGTGAATCCTGGATAATAAATGAATACGCAAAAAAATGTCTTGAGGTCTTGGAGATGTGGTTTTATAGAACATTTGAATTCCTTGGACAGGCAAAAGGTGCAGCCCAGATGTTTTGAAAGAGATTAGAGAATTTCTTCACAGACGCTGCATGAGTTAGACTTGAAAAGCAAGTTAGTCAAGTTACAAGAAGGTATCCCCCCAGGGAGGTGTAATATCTCCTACCCTGTTTATTGATTTCATCAATGACCTCCCAAAACAGTTCATGACTCACATTTACAAGGCCCTACATGCAGATGACCTGGCCATTTGGACCCAAGCTAACCATACAGGAACAACTAAAACAAGAATGCAGGAAGCTATAAATACAGTTAAGAAATGGGCAGACTCTTGGGGAGTCACAATAAACCAGATCAAAACTGTCTAGACTCTCTTCTCTCTTTCCACAAAGCTAGAACAAGTTGATCTGTAGCTAGATGGCAACATCCTTCCAAGAGATGAAAACCGCATATATTTGGGAGTAAAATATGACAAAAGACTAACCTGGGACCCGCAGATTGAAGAAACCCAAAGGAAAGCTACCCTGCAGCTCAGACTTATTAAAAAACTTATTGGAACAAGGTGGTATGCAGATGCCAACACGTACGACAAGTATACACATAATACATATGACCAAAACTGGAGCGTGGCACTTGAACATGTCTACAACTCTTACTCAAATGGACATACGTATACACTGGAGAAAGCAGAAAAAAACATACGAGGTAGACCGGTCATTATGCTGCAAGATGGGACCACCTAATGGTCTGATCTGATCTGAACATACAAAACCAAACGCAAAGAAGAAGAAAGAGGTGAGGGCTCAAGGACAACTTGTCACCAACATCAAAAAGAGACATACATTTTAAGTAATGTTATGAGAAGAATGAAAAGGGAACATGTTGTGACTATGGGAAAGATCTGTGGAAACAGAGACAGAGGAAGACGATTTCTTCATGGCAAGGATGGATGTCAGCACACAAACTGACACATGCTGTTGAAGAACACAGATTATGGAGAGTCATGATCACCAACATCAGTCGGCAAAGCATTTGATAATGACGATCTTCTGTTCGCATTGGAAAAGAAGTGTTCATAAATAAATACCTGTGGTTTAATATGAGAAATCCTTCAACAATAAGAACTGCTGGCTCTACATTATTCTGTTGTCGTAAGATCCACTCTTCAACATCACTAACCATCCTGTCCATCTCTAATGCACTAAGCGCTGAAAAGAATTTTGTTATATAAACATAAATAACATACTTTTATCACTTGATAAAATTGAATACATAATGAACACTTGAATACCCTGATACCAAGTTTTAACTCATATAACATGCATTTGTTTTTTGTTTTTCAAACCTTGACAGAGATTCACTTTCAAATCCAGCTGCGACTCGCGGCAGCCCACGGCGGGTGTTCGAAACCTGGCGGTTGCCGCGGTTCACCAGCCTCTAGGTAATGGGTACCAGAGTTAACACTCTGGGGTAAATAGAGGAACGTCGCTGTAGCTACGGAGTCGCGTGGGGACGGCGACATAGGTGGACTGTTTCTTAACAGCTGTCTGTACTGGTGGCAGAGCACTTATGGAATATAACCATGTGCAATGACGTTGGTTCATATCTCCTGACTTTACTTTACCTTGATAACAAAGTTGAACTGCAGTCAACAAATGGTAGGCCATTTTGGAAGCTCCTAACTTTAACTGACAGCCATGGTGACATAGTGGCTTGATGATCACCTGCCAGCCTGAATCCTGACTAAGTCAGGCTTTTTCTTCAAAAATTACACTGGTTCCCAGGTTGACCTGACTATTTTTTTAAATCATGTTAGTGTTTCTTGTGTTGACTGCCTGATCACAAATATCCATGCAAAAATCACTGATTTGGTTCTTATGATCTCAATAAAGTTACTTTTAAAATGAGTTTCTATATTTTGTGTTGCTCTTTACAATCTCTTGTCACAAAAAAAGACATTCATTATTTTTGGGCTACTTTTTGGGAAGACAGAAACTGGAATGTGTTGTGATGACTGAAAATTGTTTGGCATGAGAGGTAAAGGAAGACAACACTAGAAGGTTCTTGACAGTGTCTTGTGATGACATGGAATGATATCGTCACTTGAACTGACACATGCAGTTAGAAATCACAAGTTGTGGAGAGACATGATCACCCACACCAGTAAGCACAGCATTTAATTATGACAGTTTACAATCGTCACTCAGCTAGCAGATATATGTCCACGTTATAAATATATACTTATTTTAACTCTGTTTTCGTCTTCTTCGCGTTCGTCCATTTGGACTCTGGCTTTGTACCAGGGCTGAGAACTCTGGCTTTGTGCCAGGGCTGAGAACTTTGGCTTTGCCCCAGGGCTGAGAACTCTGGCCTTGTGCCAAAGCTGAGAACTTTGGCTTTGTGCCAGGGCTGAAAACTTTGGCCTTGTGCCAGGGCTGAGAACTTTGGGCTTGTGCCAGGGCTGAGAACTTTGGCTTTGTGCCAGGGCTGAGAACTTTGGCTTTGTGCCAGGGCTGAGAACTTTAGCTCTGTGCCAGGGCTGAGAACTTTGGCTTTATGCCAGGGCTGAGAACTTTGGCTTTGTGCCAGGGCCAGAGTTTTTCTGTTTTACTAGCTTATTTGTATGCAGCTGGTTGTTCCCTGCCACTCGAGCAGATGCATTATGACTTTGAAGGATGCCCTCAATTAGTTGACTTCTACAACATGCTTGTTTGGGAGGCAGTGGGTCCATTCTTGCCCCCACCCCTAAAATCTCGCTACCGCGCACTCGCTTAAGGATGTCTTACTTTTGGTCCCTGGGCAGCATGAATTTTTTTTAAAGACAATCTCTTGCTTTTACAGTCCCATGGAGTTCATTTTAATGAGGTTTTACTGTGTACGTGCGTATAGACACACACAAATATATGAGTGTGTGTGTTTGTATAAATATATATTTGTGTGTGTAAACATATATGTGTGTCAAAAGTAAATTAATTTACATACTGTCCCAATTCTGATATCCGTTTAGAGTTTCCACATTTGGATCATCTGGAGCCTAAAGAGGAAAGCAAATACAGTTGATATTAGACACTAGATCAAAGTATAATGCAATCATCATGTAGCATATCCTATGCAGGAAGCTGTTCTCAACACAGCCCACTGAAAAGACTTCTGATTTGTTATGACCGTCGTCCTCCTTGTGGGATATACTTTTTTTTGTTATTTTGAAGCCCCACCCTGGCTTTTGCCGGGGGCCCTAAATATAGCCGGGCCTTAAATATGACCTAATGGCTGAACGGGGTTTCCAGGACCTCTCCACTGGTGATCCTTATCCATATGGTGGCACTTTGTGTCACCGGGTGTTTATCGCTTGTATGATGTCCTGGTGGGGTACAACTTACCTAACTTACCTACCTACTTCTGATTCTTTATCAGTCCCCTGTCTCATGCCCAAAGTACCTACAATGTGCTCCATCCAATCACACTGCCTAAATCCTGCTTCATTTTCCAGCTACCATGCCTTCGGTGCACTGAATCAAAATTGTGAAACTACATGCACAATCGCTACGCCACAGGCAACAATATCAACAATGGGGTGTCACCTTTACATCAATATCTCACTGTCCTGCTTTCTAGCATCCCAGTCACCATTGTTATAATATACATCAACATCTCTATTTTTTTAACAGAGTATAAAAATAGTCAGTTTCAGACATCCTAGAATGGAAAGTGTGTTAAACTAGTGTTAGTGTGATAAGTCTAGTTCAAGTGTGACCTTCTAGGAAGTTTGAAAATACTGTGACTGGTCCAGCAAACTGACAGTGGCTTACTGTAGTGCTCGTAGAAAATGAAAAGATCTCACGAAGCTAACAGAGGTTGAACTAACAGAAGATAGACCGCAGAAATATCAGACACTGAAAAGTACTTTCTACGAAGTGAACAGAAGGACCTGTTCCAGAGATCTATCACTGCCCCGACACATGAGGCATTCCAGGAGTACAGGAAAGAAGAAGAAGATAAAATAACTACATACTTAGAACTGATGGATACAACATGTACCTTACCAAAAAATAATCATCTTGACGCATCCATTCTGCATGAGGTAACAATTTACACAACTTTGAGCTCACAGATGATTTTCCACTGTTAGTCGCCCTATTAAGTCAAACAAATATTTTTATTATTACAGTAGTGCATACATCAAGTATACTTGTGACTCATGAGATACCATTATCACATAATACAATGTACAGGGTTAGCTCACTTGATTGCCTAATGATTGTAGGTTCAAATCCTTACTGCGGTGTTTCTAAAATTGATCTCTGCTCCCAGTTTAGGGAGATCTAAAATGGTCACAGGAGGTGTTCTGGGAAGTAAAGGTGGTGAGAATGATATTGACCACATTAGCCATCATGTGCTGATTGTCTATCCCCCCCCCCCCCCCAAAAAAAAAATACAGGTCTAGAACCATATGCCTAATGCACTACTAGTAGTAGGAAGAGAGTCTTTTTGGGGGGGCGGGGGTAAAAATACAGTTGAACCTCGATTATCCGGCTCAAGATTTTGCAGACTAGTTAATATATATAAACCTATACACACACACACATAAATATATATTTAAATGGAGAAAAAAGAGAGAAAGAAAGAGTTTTCTGTAATGAAATAAGGAATGCTTACTTTGCCAATATGAGATATTCTTCAATGCACACACGCTCACGCATGCGCCCACAGACACACATACAAACTACCAGCTATTAAGCAGCTGGGCTCTGGGAAAATGTCAAAAACTGTTTCAGTGTTAGGAAAGGTAGAGTTGGAGACTGGAAGACAAATCGAGCAGAAAATCAAAATCGGAGTCCTGTCCCATCTAGTGGAATGAAATTAGGCAAAATTATGATGAAAGGTAAACATAAACACTCTGAGGAAGTTTATTTTTTTGTGGCAGGAACACTTAAGAGGAAAATGATTGCCTGTCACTGGAAAAAGCTTTGCAATTGAGACATTATAAACTTTATCTTAAAATGGTAACAATATTTTTATTTTTGGACTTCCTTTTTCCATTAAAACATGTTTAAATTTAGGATACAATTCATAAAAAACATTTACAAAGTACTGTCCTCTACTAAAAGGACAGAAAATATGAATAAGAGAGGCTTTGGGTATAAAAAAGATGCTTTAATGATGGGGGGTGGGGGCAGTAGAAGCTGAGTTTTAAAGAACTCTGGCCTATCCAGTTTTTCTGTTATCTGACCTACCCTTCCGCCACATTAGGCCAGATATGGTAGAGTCTACTGCAGTACATACATTTATCATTAATCTCTCCAAGATAATATCATATCAAACATGATATCTATTTATGCACATTTCAATTAGTACTCTCAAGGTGAACAGCATTTTTAATGGTATTTTTACAATTGTACTTCACAGTTCAAAAGATGGCTTGAAGGAATGATTTCAAGTCAGTGAATAAGGCAGGTTTTTTTTTTTATTACTAAAAGGTTGCACAGGTGAAATAGGCATTGTAACCTCTGCTCTAAAGTTAATGAACATATTATATGTGAAGTTTTCAACTTGTTAAAAACATGGCACGCAAGAGAAAGATAATCTATATGTCAATGTCTTATTTTTCTCCCTTGAAGGGGTGGTTGGCATATTGTGGTTTACAGCTAGGCTGAGATATCTATACTTTACTACTCAGCATATCCACTTTCAGCAAACAAGTGATCAGTCTACTGTGATGACATGCTTGTTAAGGGAAGAGTGGGCCTGTTTATGAGGTCTTGTAACCCATATAGTGAATGTCAGTGACTAATTTATGTTAGTTCTTTGATATCTTCTTCTTCATGTTCACTGGTTGTAAAATCTGGCTGTTCATCAACCTATGGACTTTGGCCTTGTTTCAGAACTTGAATGTTGCGTGGGCATCTATTTTACAGATCTAACTTATTTACAAACTGCGACTCCCCACTACGCTGTGAGGCAATTGTGGACAAGACAAGACTTATTTACATGCAAAACTGTAGACTCCTTGCCTCTCAGGCAGGATACACTCAGACTGTAAAGAAAACACCCCTAACTAGTCGACTTTTACAACATGTTTGTTAGGGACTAATGGGTCTATTCTTCCCCATCCCCCCCAAATGGGGTGCAGGGACACACAAGTGGAAGTTCCTTGATAGTAGGCCACTTACTTTCTGGAAATATAAACTAAGCCTTTTACTGGTCTAAAGTAGTTTGTACACAGAAACAATAGTACTTACCCACCAATTCCTACTACTAAATATTTTCTGCCTGTCATTTTGAGTTCTCTTCCAGAAGAAATGCCTGTATGACAATAAGGGCACCTGAATAGTCACAGCTTCGCTTGACAGTTGATCAGTGAAGCAAATTTTTGGCAAACTCTCCTGCACAGTCTTTTCGTAATTAAATTTTGTTTTCATATACACATATAAATCAAACAACAAAGTGCAAGCTGGCACGGTGGCATAACAAAAATTGTCTATCCATCCTGACTGTCTTCACAACGTACTGTAGATACACTATTTTCCCATTCATCTTCATTGGAAACTAATTCTTCTTCCTCAATTTCAGGTTGTGAGCTCATATAATTTACTCCCACAGCGGCAGGGACATCATTCTGGTTGAGTCTTTGCAAAAATGTCTGTAACAGTCTCTTGTTCAAATGATCTGTCAAAGTGATCTCTCTCTCTGGGCTTGGCTCACTGAGATCCTCAACTGTGTTCACATCACTTTCATTGTGTCCGTTTGATACAGTTTCAATACAAATTTCTTTCATATCAACTTCTTCTGCCATGTTAAGTTTATCAGTTTATACTACATCACATTCAATGCATCTAGGGAAATCAGAATTAACACATTATTTTACAATTTAATAACTATTTAGAACATGTTTGCTTGTATCTTCCAGTCAACCATAAAGTTTATCAGTTTCACTGTAAACATTTAAAGACAGTAAGATGTTGTCACCCAGCTAGACTGGTGAGAAATCACACAGCTAAGACAGTGAGATGTTGTCACTCAGTAGACTGGTCAGAAGTCACACAGCTAAGGCAGTAAGATGTCACTCAGCTAGAAGGGTCAGAAGTCACACAGCTAAGACAGTAAGATGTCACACAGTAGACTGGTGAGAAGTCACACAGCTAAGACAGTGAGATGCTGCCAAACAGTAGACAGGTGAGAAGTCACACAGCTAAGACAGTGAGATGCTGCCAAACAGTAGACAGGTGAGAAGTCACACAGCTAGACTGGTGAGAAGTCACACAGTTAAGACAGTAAGATGTTGTCACACAGTAGACAGGTGAGAAGTCACACAGTAGACAGGTGAGAAGTCACACAGTAGACAGGTGAGAAGTTACACAGCTAAGACAGTAAGATGCTGCCAAACAGTAGACAGGTGAGAAGTCACACAGCTAAGACAGTGAGATGCTGCCAAACAGTAGACAGGTGAGAAGTCACACAGCTAAGACAGTAAGATGCTGCCAAACAGTAGACAGGTGAGAAGTCACACAGCTAGACTGGTGAGAAGTCACACAGTTAAGACAGTAAGATGTTGTCACACAGTAGACAGGTGAGAAGTCACACAGTAGACAGGTGAGAAGTCACACAGCTAAGACAGTGAGATGTTACTCAGCTAGACTGGTGAGAAGTCACAAAGCTAAGACAGTAAGATGTTGGGCTATCCTCCGAATAACGGTCCCAAATTATAGAGGCCAAAAGTATACCCTAACAGGGCCTCAGTCACATGTAAATTGCGGACCTCTTTCCGGCGACTATACAGCCACCGCGGAGAGTATCTCCCGCACCACTACGTGCGGCACAGAGTGGGGCTAAACTAGATGGCTGGAACTTACCAGCAAAAAAATGAAGGAAGCTGCAGGAGATGCGGTAGCTGCTGCCTGTGAGTCCCAGCCGTCCAGTTTAGCCGTGCTTAGTGGCGGGGGAGATAATCTCAGCGGTGACTTCAACTCAGCGGAAGCTTTTCTGCTGTATGCTGTGCAGTCGCCGGAGAGAGGTCTGCAATTTACATGTGACTGAGCCCCTGTTAGGGTATATTTTCGACCTCGATAATTTGGGACCGTTATTAGGAGGATAGCCAGATGTTGTCACACAGTAGACTAGTGAGAAGTTACACAAATAAGACAGTGAGATGTTGTCACACAGTAGACTAGTGAGAAGTTACACAAATAAGACAGTGAGATGTTGTCACACAGTAGACTAGTGAGAAGTTACACAAATAAGACAGTGAGATGTTGTCACACAGTAGACTAGTGAGAAGTTACACAGCTAAGACAATGAGATGTTGTCACACAGTAGACTGGTGAGAAGTTACACAGCTAAGACAGTGAGATGTTACTCAGCTAGACTGGTAAGAAGTCACACAGCTAAGGCAGTAAGATGTTGTCACACACTAGACTGGTGAAAAGTCACACAGCTGAGACAGTAAGATGTTGTCACACAGTAAACTGGTAAGAAGTCACACAGCTAAGACAGTGAGATGTTGTCACACAGTAGACTAGTGAGAAGTTACACAAATAAGACAGTGAGATGTTGTCACACAGTAGACTAGTGAGAAGTTACACAAATAAGACAGTGAGATGTTGTCACACAGTAGACTAGTGAGAAGTTACACAAATAAGACAGTGAGATGTTGTCACACAGTAGACTAGTGAGAAGTTACACAGCTAAGACAGTGAGATGTTGTCACACAGTAGACTGGTGAGAAGTCACATAGCTAAGACAGTGAGATGTTACTCAGCTAGACTGGTAAGAAGTCACACAGCTAAGGCAGTAAGATGTTGTCACACACTAGACTGGTGAAAAGTCACACAGCTGAGACAGTAAGATGTTGTCACACAGTAGACTGGTGAGAAGTCACATAGCTAAGACAGTGAGATGTTGTCTCACAGTAAACTGGTAAGAAGTCACACAGCTAAGACAGTGAGATGTTGTCACACAGTAGACTGATGAGAAGTCACATAGCTAAGACAGTAAGATGTTACTCAGCTAGACTGGTAAGAAGTCACACAGCTAAGGCAGTAAGATGTTGTCACACACTAGACTGGTGAAAAGTCACACAGCTAAGACAGTAAAATGTTGTCACACAGTAGACAGGTGAGAAGTTACACAGCTAAAGCAGTAAGATGTTGTCACACAGTAGACAGGTGAGAAGTTACACAGCTAAGACGGGTGAGAAGTCACACAACTAAGACAGTGAGATGTTGTCACACAGTAGACTGGTGAGAAGTCAAACAGCTAAGACAGTAAGATGTTACACAGCTAGACTGATCAGATAGCTGTTTCTTTGAACTTTAAATAATTAAATTAAGCTAGTTCAACTGCCACTTTATGTACAATGAGTGTAAAATAATATATATATATAGGCTCTACTCCAAACTTCTACCCAATATTATGGCGGCCATAAAATATCCTTACAGGGCTCAGGCATATGTAAAATGCGGACTTTCTGCCAAGGAACAAATCGCAGCAAAACTAGGATTGCTTGGCAATTTCAAGAGACGCAACACTGCAGACGATAGTAGCAGACGATATTAGCGACCGTTGACAGTTTCGAGCATTTCTGCAAATGATACTAGCAAACGATAATAGCGAGAAGTATTCTTCTCTCCGTTTTTATCCTCACACTTTTCGGCATGCGCAAAACACGATTAAACTCACCGCCGAGCATATCCTCCGTTCCGCTACGTGCGGCGCGGATGGGGGGCTAAACTAGGTGCCTGGGACTCACGAGCAAATTAATTGGAGGAAGTTGCAGGAGATGCGTAGCTGCTGCTGGTGAGTCCCAGCCATCTAGTTTAGCCCCCATCACGGCGCGGGGGATGCGGTCGGCGATGAGGCATTGTCACAGAAACAGGTCCGCAATTAACATATCGCTGAGACCCTGTTAGAGCATTTGTTTCGTTATACGGAACCGATCCTAGTTTTGCCACGATTTGTTTGTCGCCGGAAGTTCGCATATTTTTTATATGACTGAGCCCCGTAAGGATATTTTATGGCCGCCATAATATCGGGTAGAAGTTCGGAGGAGAGCCTTTATATATATATATATACCTCGTGACATTTAAAGTAACAACTTCGACGCTAGATGAAGACGTTTCTACAAAAGCAAATTCATACAAATAAAACTCATAACTGACTTCATTAGAATGGCAGCTGCCTTGTAGGGGCATCCAAGAGTTATACCAAATTAAATGGTTTGCCCACTTAGAGAGAATGCCTTGTGTAGCATGCTACAGCAGGCATATACCAAAAGAGAAATTGGATGTATAACATCAAGTCGATACATATAGTAAGAGAGAAAGTCAACATCAGAGAAACAGCCAGAAGAGAAACTAAATGTATATCATCAAGTCGATACATATAGTAAGGGAGAAGAAAGTCAACATCAGAGAAACAGCCAGAAGAGAAACTGGATGTATAACATCAAGTCGATACATATAGTAAGGGAGAAAGTCAACATCAGAGAAACAGCCAGAAGAGAAATTGGATGTATAACATCAAGTCAATACATATAGTAAGGGAGAAAGTCAACATCAGAGAAACAGCCAGAAGAGAAACTGGATGTATAACATCAAGTCGATACATATAGTAAGGGAGAAGAAAGTCAACATCAGAGAAACAGCCAGAAGAGAAATTGGATGTATAACATCAAGTCAATACATATAGTAAGGGAGAAAGTCAACATCAGAGAAACAGCCAGAAGAGAAACTGGATGTATAACATCAAGTCAATACATATAGTAAGGGAGAAGAAAGTCAACAACAGAGAAACAGCCAGAAGAGAAACTGGATGTATAACATCAAGTCGATACATATAGTAAGGGAGAAGAAATTCAACATCAGAGAAACAGCCAGAAGAGAAACTGGATGTATTAAACGCGATTAAACTCACCTCCGAGCGTATCCTCCGTTCCGCTACGTGCGGCGCGGATGGGGGGCTAAACTAGGTGCCTGGGACTCACGAGCAAATTAATTGGAGGAAGTTGCAGGAGATGCGTAGCTGCTGCTGGTGAGTCCCAGCCATCTAGTTTAGCCCCCATCACGGCGCGGGGGATGCGGTCGGCGGTGAGGCATTGTCACAGAAACAGGTCCGCAATTAACATATCGCTGAGACCCTGTTAGAGCATTTGTTTCGTTATACGGAACCGATCCTAGTTTTGCACGATTTGTTTGTCGCCGGAAGTTCGCATATTTTTAATATGACTGAGCCCCGTAAGGATATTTTATGGCCGCCATAATATCGGGTAGAAGTTCGGAGGAGAGCCTAGTATATATATATATATATATATATATATATATATATATATATATATATATATATATATATATATAGATATATATATAGATATATATATATATATACTAGTACTAAAGTAGTGAGGAACTAGTTAGTAAGTTCTACTAAATACTCTAATAGTTAGTAGTAGTATTCTTACGGAAAACTGGTACAGGATCCTTACATTAGTAAACGAAACAAATGGCTAAATAAAATATATTAATATATAATAATTTAACAAAAACAGGCCCTAGAATAATCCACTGATAAACAATTACAAAAAGGTCAAGAAACGTGAAGTGTATCAAATGTCACAAAACGAAGCACGTTTAAATGCGTGTACACGATTCTAAGCTGTGCTGTAGAGCAAACACTAACAGGTAGGTACAAGTACAAACATGGAGATATCACAAGATATCCGCCTGAATACAAATTTTACAATATCTTTCCTCATCGCCGCAAGCAGGCAGGGATATTGCCACGTATACTGTATTTTGACTG